ATTTGACGCGTGCGATTAGTAATGGTTTACCTTGACTGGTTTTTTTCCCTACATAGACCTGTCTTGCACAATATGCAGTGGTATCGTTCACTACCCTCTTTGAAAAAATTCTTAACTATCACTCCTCTCTTTACTCATTCCGAAGTGTTCGCCATTCTTTAAAAAAAAAAAACATATTTAAACCCGATATATTCAAATAAATTATACTTTATCTTAATCATTTTTAAAAAAAATCATTCAAAAGTAAATTATTTGTTTCATGATTTTTTTCAAATCGATAAAATAGATATTTTGAAACATGGATATTTTTTTATTTACATGTGTATTGATCTATTTCCATACTTAAATTTGGAAAGGTGTTGATACTTTATCGTATTACCTCTGCGAGACACAGTCTTGACATATACTCTCTCTCTCTGTGTGTGTGTGTGTGTGTGTGTGTGTGTGTGTGTTGAAGTAACATTTGGAACGTCAAAGAATAAGCGCGCTTTTAGAAAACCATCAAACTTTCCGTTTATGACGTCATTAATCGAACGTCATCTGAAACGACGTAGGTCAACAATAGATTTCAAACGGAATACAACAAAAAGATTTCGATCCACCTACTAGACGCACAATGGGAAAACTCTGGTCAGGATTCAGAACACTGGCTGACGGATGTCGGCGTTTGTTCAAGAAAAACCCGGATCCAGAGAAGGAACGCAATATTCCTGAGGAAAGTACGTTGTTAAAAGAAGAAGTTAGAGAAAATGTTCTCGATCCTCAAATAGAAGTGAAAGTTTTCTCAGACAACGGGGAGGTTTCAAAGGCCCAAGTGGACATTATTATTCGGGAATTGCAGGAATTTCAGGCAATTTCTGGAATACCCAAAGAGGAGCCAAATGAATCAAAGGTGAAAAGTACTTTGTTATTACAATCATCTGTCAACATTGAAGATGTAAGGAATATCTGTTCAAAACTGCTGCGTCTTTGTCGCTCAAAAGTACAAGACGAGGTTGCCGACTACCATATAAATGTTACTTTGTTTCTGACCCATAGTGAGCCTAAGCATACAATTCCTACTTATACCGGCGTGCAAGCCATCGATGAGCTGACCGATTCAGATATTGAGGTTATAACCCCAGAACCATCTGAAATCCAGAATTGCTTCAAAACTCATTCTGTAATAAGTATTACAGATTCTCATCCCGTACAAATATCGGAGAGAGAAACGGTTAATATCCAGTCAAAGAGTGACAAAGATTACTCGGTAGCGGAACCAATCACTCAGATTCAACTAGAGGCAGAAAAAGCTGATATAGGTGAAGTAGCATTGACAAATGGTCATAAAAACAAGGAAAGTGAAAGTATTAAAGAAACTCCTGTACAGAAAGGTGTTGAGGATAATGTTAGCCCAGACATGGAGTCAACGACGTCAGAAGAAACACATTCATCTGAACCGGAATTCCATTCTAGTCCAAAACCTCACGCAAAACCAAACCTGAAGCCTAATTCAAAACCTAATCCCAGACCAAACGGTGGAGGAAAAAATCGGGGAATCGATGCTGATGTGGTGATGGCACGTCTGTCCCGAGTGTTGAGGAATACCAATACATGTTCGAGTGAATTCATAGCTCGTGAAGGGACTAAACTCGATACCGATTATCTTACGACCCTTATAAAGTCCTTCAATGGCACTGGTATAGCAAATCGTGTTCGTGACGAAATTTCGGGACTAAAAAGCAATAATACAGTCTGGCTGGAACAAAAATTTGCGTGCATGAAAAAAACTGTAAAATTATTAAGCTATGTCCACAAGCTTGAATTCTACGCCTTGCACGAGAAGTTTCCAGAATTAGTTTCGTTTGCTGACTATGTCCGTTCCAAAGAAAAACAATTGAAGAGCCCAAATGTAAGGCGAAAATACATTGCTCTCATTTTGTACGGTTCTCTCATTAAAGAAAAATGCTTTGAGGAAAAATTCCCAGACTCAGCAAAAGAGATAAGAAAATTACAAACCATCAAACAATACATACAATTCTGTCTGGCAAACAAAGATCCTAGATTTCACTCTAATACGTGTAAGATTCATAAAATGCAAAAATTGCCCAAAAGCAGAAAGAAAAAAACATTGAAAATGTTGGAAGGAGAAACTAAACCGGAAGAAAGAACTAGCGGTGAAAGCGATCAAACAAACTGCCAGCAAGTTCCAGAGGAAGTAATGGATGAATCTGTAGATGATTCAGGCGATCTGAAAAAGAGCGATGTTTCTGAAGCGGTGCCAGGTAATGAAGGAAATTCGGGCAACCATTTGGATCAATCAGAATACGTTAACTCCGAGTTACACGAGGGTGCAAATTCAGAAGAGATAGGGGACACAAAAGAGGATGGAGAGGGAAATAGAGTATTAACTAAAACTGAATTAAGGAGAACAGATTCGAGTCATGAAAACTGGACATTTGAAAAAGATGCTATCAAATCGTTGGATGATCGAATACGAACTAAAAGGTATGGTAAAGGTGCGAAAAAAAGGTTCCAGGAGCAAAAGGTCAAAGTGAAAACAAGAGGTGTTGCCAACCGCCATATTGCACCATTAAAACAGGAAATCCTAACCGAAGATGCCCCAGAATTGTCCACAGGCGATGATATTTATCGCCAATTTTATAATGTCTTTACCGACCATGGAGGCTTTGAGAATTCTACGGAAAACATAAACGAGACTAACAAAAGTAAAGAGAACAGCAATAAGACTTATTTAGAGAAGGGTTTGGTTTCCGAGCCCGACTTCAGGCATGTTGAAAGCGCGCCAAGTACAATCATTGTGGGAAAGAAAAATGAGTGCGAGGATTTAGGAGAGAGATACGGGTCCAGGGAGTCGTACGCAATCAATTCCAACAAATCCCGACGGCAGCGTAAAAAACAACAGAGGGCAAACAAAGTCCTTACTCTGGGAAACCTAAACAACTCGGCTCTCGTGGAATCCGACAGCGACGACCTGATAGAGGACAGTGAGTCAGATAACGAATCTGATGAAAGCGCCAATGAGTTTATGAACTATGAAATGTTCAGCGAGGTTCTGGCACGGGACTGCGATGATGCTGACGATTCGTTTGACGACGGTTTATGCAGTGGTATAGACGATTTCCTTGACGAATTCAGAACAACCGTCAGAGCTGAACCACGGATACGAAAAGAAAAGAACATGTTGTTTTCATTTTATTAGACAGCTAATAGGTTTTGTTCAAAATGGTTTATTTTTTGATATTTATACTATGATACAACAAAATTTGTTTCAATTTTAATTTGGTTTAATTTACATTATCTGACAAATATGTTAATAATAAATCTCAACTCAAACTACAATATATTTTTGGACTTTTTGAAAGGAAAATAGAGTGCACTTATGTTAAATTTCAAGTTAAGAGAACAGGCAATGTGATTTGATAGTGGTACTAGGACCCTGAGAATATTTATTGCAATTATAATAAGGGGTTAAAAAATCCCTACATAATATAGAATTAAATTTACATATGACATGGTTTTATCTTTTGAAATATATGCATTATAAACAGACAGGAAGCTGTTTTTTGATCGTGTTTGTTAGTCTGTATGCTTGTCCGTCTTTCTGATTGTAAAAAGATCTCTAAAACTGTTGTTAACAGATTTGGATGAATTTTTAGGATTTTTTTTTTCATATTTCGAAATGTTTCCAGTAATATCCTATTTGAATTTTTATAGATGCGACATGCCTTTTTGGAGGCATGCTTATATATAAAAGAAATTCTGCATGTCATACATGTATGCCTCCGGAGGAAGTGATTCATGTCTCAATATTGAGCAAAGAACTGAATCTTAGTGTTTAATTGCATTTTTTGTGTTGCACACTCATTCGTACAGATTTTTGAACGTGATTTTCCTGTAATTTTTGGATTTTGGCATTGAGATTATAGTACATCGTACAGATCTGGAAAGTAGAAATTTTGAAAGGTGCTGAGCCAAAAAGAAAAAAAAACTCTAAAATTAAAATTCATAATCGATCTTTGAACAAATCTCCGAGTTCTCAGTCACCAGCAGGTCCGTAGAAGGCGCGGGGGGGGGGGGGGGGGCACGCCCTTCTACTTATTACGTATTATTATACGTATAGTATTTTGCAATTTTTGCAAGTGAATTTTACTTTAGATGCTGGTTGCTACCCACACCCATCCACTTTTTGTCGCTGCAAGGTCTGGCAAATTCCATGATTTGAACATTCATTTTATTTTTTTTTTTTTTTTTTTTTTTTTTTTTTTTTTTTTTTTTGCTTATTTGATTTTCTGGGGAAGTCCCCCCCCCCCCCCGCTTTGAAAGTCCCCTCTTTTTAATGAACGAAATTTTTTATTCCGTGTCATCTGTGGTACAAATCACATTTCGATTCTTGTAAGTAGTAGCTAGTGTTTAAAATGCTCAAGATGCCACTTTTATTTCAATGTGAGTCAGCTTCAGAATTTCAGTGTAGTTTTGATGCTTTGAATTTAAATGTTTCCCCAGAATACCCGTCTGTTATCTTTATATACATTAATCAAGGATTTACACTGAAAATTGACAGCCCCCCCCCCCTTTTTCCATTTTTTTTCTTTTTAAATATGGGGTCGAGTCACCTTTTTCCTATTTTTGTATTATAATATGCACTATATGTTATCGATAATGTAACCCTTTTGTCTCTATAAGTTTAAGCTGTTTTTTAATATATTGTTTTCAACTGATAAGTAAAAAAAAAATAGAGACAAAAGGTTATCGATAGCATATAGTGCATATTAGAATACAAAAATAGGGAAAAAGGAGCTTTGATCCCAGATTTAAAAAGAAAAAATGGATAGGGGAGAGGGGGGTTCCATACCCCAAGTGCCTGTGTGAAAATTAAAAACAGAAAGATTCTTGCAGAGCTTTAACATCAATTTAGATCGGGATCGACATTCCCAAATGTGTATTTGTTGGACTTCGAACGGGCGACGACGACAGAGCGGTCAAAATCTAGGCTTATGCCAGTTAAAGCCCAGAAAATGAACTCGTATTGAGTTAGTCTTGTTTAAGTCATGGAGCGGCTTCAAGTTACATTCGGACACCTGTCGACGACAGGGTCACATAATGATTATCACAGAGTGCTGACCAGTGAAGCTGCCGCCAGAAGGTTTCCCGACGGTCCAGATGATGTTGTTATTATTTCTGCTCGTAGGACACCAATTGCTAAAGGAAACAGGGGATCGTTTAAGGTATTTTCTAAAAATGGGGGCACACTCGTGCTAATCTGCCTGACACTGCTATATGTAGCCATAATTTCAAAATATACACGGATGCCTGCTAAAATAAAGACATAGTCAGATGGTAATAATATCAGGTTGGGCACAGCCCACCGAACGGTCATTTTACTCCCGTCTGGTGGTCAATCTCCCATATCGGAGTCAGTATTTACTGACCATTTGGGAGAGAAAAATCGTTGTGTTCAATTCCATGGAATGGCGCATAATTTTAAACCAGGCGGAATTAATAAAATATTATACATGCAGTAATGGACTCTTTCAGTGGTGAATATGGTTTGTTATTCACCAGAAAAATATCAGTATTAACCGAGGCGAAGCCGAGGTCAATATTGATATTTTTCTGGTGAATAACAAACCATATTCACCACCGAAAGAGTCCATAACTCTTTTATTATATAGTCAGGATTTGAATGAATCAGACACTGAAGGCTGCATGACGATTCCATTTTCATGAACTACATGTAACTTCTGTCGTAGAAAAATTAAAAAAAAATGTCCAGATTACAACTTATAACTTCCATGTTTCCCTTTTGCTGTGCGTATGACATCGAATTAAATGTTTGGAAAATAATCCTGCGATAAACTTCCCTAAAAATTTTCCTGCTCATATATACAGCTGGCTCCGGCCGTTGCAACCGTTGTTTTCAACGTGATTTAAGGTATTGATTGATTGTGACGTCACAATGCCGCTGCACGCGCACTGGCCCTCCAGTGAATACAGCTTCAAATCCAGTGAATATGTAGTGTTATGAACTGTTTGCATTTGTATAGTTTATGTAGGGACTATTTATAGCATATATAATAAAGATATTTATTGATCGGTGTTCTGAATGAAAAAAATCAGAAATTCAACGTGCAATTTTTTGCGCAGAGTCATTCAAAAATTTGACAAAATTGTCGCGTACGTAAACAAGTGCAATGTTTCTCACTCCTTCCCCAGCAATGTTAAATTGCACCTGTCAGTCATGTTCCGTACTTTCTATTTCGATTATCCGGACAACCAATCAAATAATGCAAACCAATAAAAATGATGATCTTTTTTTTCACCTGGTCAAAAGTCAGATTTAACTACGGAGGCACATTAGTGTCAATTTTCAATTAGGAAATAAAAGAAAAACAAGTTTTCAAGTTTATTTCATTCATTTTGTATGCAATGGCTTTATTCTTTATAAAAATAGTATATACAGTGAGGTTGTGATATAATTATTGTTTTAAAATGATGTACTTGGAATAGAAACAAGAATAATTGCAACAGTCACTTTGTAAATCTTTTATTGAAAATAATTCATCAAATATATTAAATTCGTCAGTTCTATGCATATTAAACCACAAAAGGTTGCATGGAATTTGAAACTTCATCCTAAAAGAAAAATAACAACAAATATTACGTTCAGGTCTAGAAAAATTGAATTTTATAGCAATAAGTGCCAACCATACCAGTAAAGTACGAGGAGCTTGTGTTTAATGGGATTTTATGGAGATAAATATTGTCGAAGATCCAAAGAGCGATTGAAAGTTAACTTATCAAGAGTTAAACCACTGGATAAAATAGAATTTTCATCCAACAAGACGCAATATAATTCTTTTTTTGATGGATTGAGCAAGACGTTCGGCCATTACGGACAACTATTGGTATCGTTTTTACGAAGTTACGGAGAAATTGCACATGGAAAATCGACCGCACTATGTTTATTGTGCGAGGAATATGTTCACTAAAATTCCACGATGCCTATGCAAATGTGCTTTTGCTTTATTTTAATAAAAATTGGAATAGAATAAAAAAAAGACCACCGTTTGGCCCGTAAAATTCGTCTCTGATATGGGAGATTGACCACCAAACGGGAGTTAAATGACCGTTTGGTAGGCTGTGCCTAACCTGAGTAATCCATCAAGGAGTGGAACGCCCAACCCACCTCTACTGTGATGGCTCCGAGCCTTGACTGCTTCAAGGCTCGTCTCTGTCAATAAGTCTCCAGCATAATTGTTTTTAAACTAACTTTTAAATAGACTATCACAATCATTTTTAAACATGCGCACACCTAGTGGCATAATAGTCAACATTTTGATGGTGGCCGCTTACTGGTAGAAGTATACAGGTATAGGGCCTAGGTCAGTTGTAGGTATATTATTACTTAATATAAGGTTTGTTACTTACTGTCTACAGAAATATATCGGGTTGATCAATTTCATAGACAGCAAGATGGAGCCGAGCTTCCTCCTTCTTCCTCTTTATTTTAATGCAATAACATGGCATACTTTGTCATCTGCACTTGTAAAATATGACAAAAGCAATCCAAAAAAAATTTCTAACCATGTATGGTGGAGCAGTGGACACAATCTTGTGAAATATCTGAGGAAAATAAAAGGGACTCAACTCTAGGACCATAACGAATTTAAGTCTCCAACGATACATGATACATGTAAGAATGGTGTCCTATGTGGACCGAGGTTCATTAACTTAATTTCCTAGAAAACTTTAAAAGTTCTTGGGTGAATTAGGGTGATTAAAACTTCATTATTTTTTCGAGAGCAAGTAATACAGGAATGTATGTACTACATTGTAATTATGTTCCTGGTAAAACAATGTAAGTAACATAAAGCATCTGTAAGTCCAGGGACTTAATAAGTGTAGTTTTAGAAATAATTTACCTCGTATATTACTTAAAGAGGAAGAGGGGAATTCCAAAGCTTAGTCAAGATATTAACAAAGAAAAGGCACAGTTTTACTGTTTAAAAGTAAAATAACAGCTGGGTTGACAAAACAAATGTACATAAGCCAAAATTATATGAAAAATTTGACATAATGCATTAATTTCTATATACAGTTGAATTTTGGTATCTCGAACATGGATATCTCGAATACCATGGATATGTCAAAGTGATTTTGAAGTCCCAGCTGCTTATTGCTTAAGTATTTTACCCTGGATATCTTGAATCCTCAGTTATCTTGAAGTATAACGAGGTTTGACTGCATGTATTCCCTTGAATTTTGTATTTTGTAGGAAACTTTCCCAGATGATCTTCTTGTCCCAGTCTTTAAAGCTGTTCTACAAGAGGCCAATGTTGCACCCCAGGATGTCCAGGATATCTGTGTCGGTCAGTCAGATAATAATCTGATATCATAATTTGAGTCATGTCAAATTCAAAGTCCCTTAACCAAATGGTTTACATGTAAAAAAAAAATTAATAAATTGCTGATATAATCCATTTAGAGCAATTTTTCTTCTCTACTTTGAGGATATTTGTAATCTTTAATAACTTCTACAGTTGAACATTGATATCTCAGATATTAATATCTTGAATCATTGGATATCTCAAATTTTTTACCAAGCCCCATGGAGTTCAAGATGATAAAATTTGACTGTACTTTTGTTTGAATTTTGTAGGAAATGTTGGTGATCCCAGACCAGCTGTTTCAGCCAGAACTGGACAGTTTTTCAGGTGAAGGATTACTCTTCCTGGGAAAAATTATATATACATGCAAATAGTTAGGATTTGAAATTGATATAAAGTTGACTTTTAAGGTTAAGAGGCATTTACATACAGTCAAACCTAATTATGTCAAATTCGATGGGACAAAGAAAAGAATTCAAGGAGATATCCCAGGATTTGAGATATCAAGGGTAAAATTCTTGGAGAATAAGTGATTGGAACTTTCAAATCACTTTGACATATCCATGGTATTCAGGATATTGGTGTTCAAGATACCGAAGTTCAACTGCATGTACAGTTATTTTATTGGCTACTTCATCTCTAAGACTTCTATCTGTATAAATTGAGGAATAGCACCATCTCAAAATAATACTACTAGTCTATATAATTACTTTAAAAGTTTTGATTGTAATGAAATGAAGAGGACAGAGTTCCCCTCATTTTAAAACCCTTTTTCATAAAACCATGCTGGCTATTTTTAAGATAGCCCATGAAAATTTGTCAGCATTTTCTTATCAATGGGCCAGGGAAAATTCTAAATACATGTAATTAGATCTACATGCATTTGACAATGTTAATTTCTTGAAAATGTTAGTTTGACAATATTTTGCGATGACAATTTGTTGCTCACTTTCAAAATATATATATTTTAAATTTTGATGATATTTTTTTTAGCTCACCTGAGCTGAAAGCTCAAGTGAGCTTTTCTGATCACATTTTGTCCGGCGTCCGTCTGTCTCTCTGTCTGTCTGTCTGTCTGTCTGTCTGTAAACTTTTCACATTTTCGACTTCTTCTCAAGAACCACTGGGCCAATTTCAACCAAACTTGCCACAAAGTATCCTTGGGTAAAGGGGATTCAAGTTTGTTCAAATGAAGGGCCACTCCCTCTTTCAAGGGGAGATAATTAGGAATTAGTGAAAAAATAATGGCAACATTTAAAAATCTTCTTCTCAAGAACCATACGGCCAGGAAAGATGAAACTCATGTGGAAGCATCCTCAAGTAGTGTACATTCAAGTTTGTTCAAATCATGACCCCCGGGGGTAGGGCGGGGCCACAATGGAGGATCAAAGTTTTACATAGAAATATATAGGAAAAATCTTTAAAAATCTTCTTCTCAAGAACAGCAAAGCCATGATGAGTCATATTTATATGGAAGCATCCTCAGGTAGTGTAGATTCAAGTTTGTTCAAATCATGACCCCCTGGGGTAGGGCGGGGCCACAATGGAGGATCAAAGTTTTACATAGAAATATATAGGAAAAATCTTTAAAAATCTTCTTCTCAAGAACAGCAAAGTCATGATGAGTAATATTTATATGGAAACATCCACAGGTAGTGTAGATTCAAATTTATTCAAATCATGACCCCCAGGGGTAGGGCGGGGCCACAATGGAGGATCAAAGTTTTACATAGAAATATTTAAGAAAAATCTTTAAAAATCTTCTTCTCAAGAACAGCAAAGTCATGATGAGTAATATTTATATGGAAGCATCTTTGGGTAGTGTAGATTCAAGTTTGTTAAAATCATGACCCCAGGGGTAGGGCGGGGCCACAATGGAGGATCAAAGTTTTACATAGAAATATATAGGAAAAATCTTTAAAAATCTTCTTCTCAAGAACAGCAAAGCCATGATAGGTCATATTTATATGGGAGCATCATCAGGAAGTGTAGAATCAAGTTTGTTCAAACAATGACCCCCGGGGGTAGGGCGGGGCCACAATGGAGGATCAAAGTTTTACATAGAAATTTATAGGAAAAATCTTTAAAAATCTTCTTCTCAAGAACAGCAAAGTCATGATGAGTAATATTTATATGGAAACATCCACAGGTAGTGTAGATTCAAATTTATTCAAATCATGACCCCAAGGGGTAGGGCGGGGCCACAATGGAGGATCAAAGTTTTACATAGAAATATTTAGGAAAAATCTTTAAAAATCTTCTTCTCAAGAACAGCAAAGCCATGATGGGTCATATTTATATGGAAGCATCCTCAGGTAGTGTAGATTCAAGTTTGTACAAACTATGACCCCCGAGGGTAGGGCGTGGCCACAATGGAGGATCAAAGTTTTACATAGAAATATATAGGAAAAATCTTTAAAAATCTTCTTATCAAGAACCACAAAGTCATGATGAGTCATATTTATATGGAAGCGTCCTCAGGTAGTGTAGATTCAAGTTTGTTCAAATCATGACCCCCAGGGGTAGGGCGGGGCCACAATGGAGGATCAAAGTTTTATATAGAAATAATATATAGGAAAAATCTTTAAAAATCTTCTTCTCAAGAAAAGCAAAGCCATGATGAGTCATATTTATATGGAAGCGTTCTCAGGTAGTGTAGATTCAAGTTTGTTCAAATCATGACCACCGGGGGTAGGGCAGGGCTGCAATGGACTATCAAAGTTGTACATAGAAATATATAGGAAAAATCTTCTTCCCAGGAACAGCAAAACCCAGATTGTTCATAATTATATGGAAACATCCACAGGTAGTGTAGATTCAAATTTATTCAAATCGTGACCCCCGGGGGTAGGGCGGGGCCACAATGGAGGATCAAGGTTTTACATAGAAATGTATAGGAAAAATTTTAAAAATCTTCTTCTCAGAAACAGCAAAGCCCTGATTGATCATATTTATATGGAAGCATCCTCAGGTAGTGTAGATTCTATTTTGTTCAAATCATGACCCCCGTGGGTAGGATGGGGCCACAATGGAGGATCAAAGTCTTAAGTAGAAATATATAGGGAAATATCTTCTTCTGAAGAACTGCAAACCATGATTAGTCATTTTGATATGGAAGCATCCTCAGGTAGTGTAGATTCAATTTTGTTCAAATGATGACCCCCAGGGGTTGGATGGGGCCCATTGGGGAATCGAAAGTTTTACATAAGAACATATAGAGAAAATATTTCTTCTCAAGTACAGGAAAGCTATGTTTAGTCATATTGATATGGAAGCATCCTCAGGTAGTGTAGATTCAAGTTCAAATGATGACCCCTGAGAGAGGGAGGAGCCACAATGGAGGATCAAATTTTTACAAAGGAATATATGGGAAAATTTTTTTTAAATCTATACAAGTACAATAAAGCCATTTGTTATATTGACATGGAAGCATCATCAGGTAGTTTAAAATTCAAGCCCCCCCCCCCTCCCCCCAAACCCTAGGTAATCTTTTCAATACTGAACTGATTTGTGCTTTTGCCTAGCCAATGTGCTCAGGTGAGCGATGTGGCCCATGGGCCTCGTTTTTTTTTTTTTTTTTTTTTTTGATTTGTGCAATCTAGTTGATCTCCACTATGCAGTAAAATGTAGTTAAATCAAACTTTCAGGGAAAATTTAAATTGCTCTCTGTTATATGTTAAAAATGTTGTTCCATTTAAAATATCATTAATTTTTTTATCAAGTAGAAACAAAAGATGACTTTATTTGTTATATCCATGAAAAGCTTGATCGCCATTATAATTACTCGTTTCAGTGGAATTCCAGAAACGACCCCGATACACTCTACAAACAGACAGTGTTCCTCTGGACTACAGGCTTGTATGAACATAGCAGGTCAGTGAGGCAGGGGGATATGTCAGTGAGTAAAGGGAGTGAATGTTACAGGTGTATTGAACGAGAAAAGGTGATTAATACCACATTACTGTTTGAAAATTGGCTGGTAGCATGACTGTAAAATCTCATGCATTATTGCAATTTCTTGGATTTTCATTGCATATTACTCTGAAAATTGATAAAGGATTTCAAGAAATGCAATAAATAATGATCTTTAGTACAAAAGTAATGTCAGGTAATATTGCAGTGTATAGACAAATATGAATTAATTTTTCTTATCTTAGGTGCCATAAAAACAGGTCAGATTGACTTAGGAATTGGAGCAGGGTAAATCTGTCTTTCTTTTTTTTTTTTAAAAAAAAGCTTAACCTTTACTTATAGATTAAAACAGAATAATACTATAAGTTTACATCTACATGTGTAACACAAAGGAATACTTTTGCATATTTAAAATATGAGAAAGATATATTTGCTCATTTTTTTATTGAACAGAGTGGAATCTATGACAATGCACAGAAACACAAGTTCTACAGTGCCAATCAACCCCTCTGTGTTTGACCACGATCTTGCCAGACAAGTACTTATCCCAATGGGGTAGGATCATAAACTCACATCGAATACGAAAAATAGAGAATAGCAACAAATGCATATACCTTGCCTTTGTATAAAATATAATATAAACTAATATACATGCATGGATGGTTGCAACATTGCAGACAAAATACAAACCTTGTCAGCAGGTTATGTAAATGTTTCCTGCAATGATTGCAACCATTCATCTCCTCTTAATCAAACATTAACAAAGAAAGACTGCAATTTCATTGTTTATGTTAATTTCTCTATAAATTATTTATTTTAAATGGGTGAAAATATGTACAGTTTGTATTATCACCAAGTTTTGAAACATTTGACCTGTGATGCTTCTTAAAAGTTGTTCATGCATATGGCTTTAACAAAACTGGATCTATAACTAGCTTAGAAGTTATTGATTATTCTAAAACAGTTTTCTTAAAATAAATAATGGAGTGGATGTAAAACTATAGTGATTATGAATGAATAGCCATTTTAACTTTCTGAGTTTTGTGTTTTCCAGGATAACATCAGAGAATGTAGCAGAGAAGTTTGGAATCACCAGAGAAGAGCAGGATAAATTCGCTCTGCTGTCCCAGCAAAGGTCAGAGGTTATAGGCTTAACAGCTGTGTCGTAGCGGAACTATAAAGAAGTACATGTACCTCGTCTTAATGCAGTTGAATTTCTATTTAATGATGATATTTGGTTTTCTATTTAATGGTGACAGGGCGGGAAAAGCACAGCAGACTGGGGCATTCAACAAAGAAATTGTCCCTGTGACAACCAAGGTCACGGATAAAGACGGGAATGAGCAAACTGTCACAGTGAGTAGAAGTACAAAAATCATCACAACTCGGTGTTTCTTTTGTTTAGCCAAGATAATTGGAATATGATAACTGTGGCATACATATTTTGTATCATAATCCTCGTACAAACCAGCTGCAATTTCTTTGTGATCTATAGTATAATTATATAAAGTTTATATAAAGAGAGTTATTTCTCTTATCAGATTGTCAACAAACCTTAAGAATAAGACTTGAGAATATGTGAAGAGTGAGAGTTGTCTTTATTTGTGCTTACGTCTTTGTGGTGTTTTTTGAAAGGTCACTAAAGATGAAGGTCCCAGACCCACAACGTTAGAAAACCTGCTGAAACTCAAACCAGCTTTTAAAGAGGGTGGATCCACCACAGCAGGTAGTGAATCACAAAACTTGTGGTCCCATTGTTCATTGTTTCACTAGTCATATTTATATTGCTCTTTTTAATTTTATATACATGTAGAATCAAGCCTGAATTTCAATGTGATGAAAAGTTATCTCCCTTTAAATCTGCTTTAAACGCACTTAGTATAATTACTTTTTCCTTTTCTTGCATACCTGATACTCAATGAATTTCTGAATCTCTTTTCTGGTAGTTATTTTTCACTGTCCCACTAAACTTCCTTCAGTAGTTGTTTACAAAAAATATGTTTCATTATGAAGCATACTAGCTTGTACTAAGCAAGCACTTGTAATGTCTCTTTAGAATTTCATTTGGAAAGTCAACTTGATTCAGGATTTACTGTATTCCACTTTATAGGGAACTCTAGCCAAGTAAGTGATGGAGCAGCTGCTGTTCTCATGGCCCGGAGATCAGAAGCCAAAAGACGAGGAATGAAGATATTTGGGGTAATCCGAGGCTACGCCGTGGTGGGGTGTCCCCCAGATATAATGGGCATTGGTCCAGCTGTAGCTATTCCAGAGCTTCTCAAAAAGACAGGTAATTTCCTTAATTTCTGATGCATGGGAAATTGTTGATTATTTTGAGTCTGGATATGAAACCTGAACCTGACTGTTCCTAATTTTATGTTCTGACTTTAATTTTACTGAAATCCAGAAATTGCATGTCTGTACATTTTTCTTCAAATCTGATGGTTTATAGGACATATGGTTACTTTATAGAGCTGTTGGGTAGATCGTTAAAAAAAAATGAAATGGCTAGAAGAAAAAAGATTCAAACTGCCTTTAAAAAATTGTATTTCAGTTTATTCTTTTATTTAATAAAAAATTGAAAAGTGAAAAAAAAGAATCCAACTTACCAACCTATTTTTTTTAATCATGTAATACTAGTGGTGTTCCAATCATTGATTATAATCGAAAATCAGTCAATTGCTGGCATAATCCAAGCACTCGATTACAAAATTTTTATTCCGATTAATCGGGTTATTTATTTTATTTTACAAGCATAATAGTTTTTAAGCCAAATATGTCTATTAACTTAATTGTGCATTGTGATGGTGCAGACGAACAGACATTGTATTCATACCCGGATAACAACGCTCATTCCCGGGTATGGACGTACTTTGGCTTCAACAAAATGAATGATGAACCAGCTGGACTAGACAGAACGTTCTATCGTTAAAATGATATTGTCCTATGGACTAAGGCTTGTCCCGAGACACAGATTATTCTAACTACAGCTAGACCACCTCAGAAAGTAGTTATTCACCCATTCGTACTATTTAATAAACTAAATTGACAGACTTTGTAAATGTCCAATTATAACTGATAATTAGTTAGTCACAGTAGCCCGATCATCGATTATGAAATTCCCACTGATTCCCATCACTATGTAAAACATATGTTGCAAACAAAAGAGAAAATAGTAGAATTACATAGAAATAAATAGAAAACAAACATATTTTTTTCCTCAGGACTAAACATAATCTTGATTTCTTTCAGGTTTAACTATTGATGATATTGATGTTTTTGAGATCAACGAAGCATTTGCTAGTCAGGCCTTTTATACTGTTCAGAAGCTAGGAATTCCCTCAGAGAAAGTGAATCCAGTAGGTGGCGCTATAGCTCTGGGTCATCCATTGGGCTGTACTGGAGCAAGGCAGATTGCAACACTCCTGCACGAGTTAGAACGAAGGGGAAAAAGGTTCTTTTTGGATTTTCTGTTTGTTTTTTTTTTTCACTCCATGATTTAATAGCTAGTACTTGATATTCCATGTAAACATGTAATATATAGCTCTCTTGGTCACATCACATATTGTAATCCTCAATATTCATGTCTCTAATTATAACAATGTGTACACACAGATCACGTGCTACCCACATTGACCTGTGTAATATCACCCTTTGAACGTTGGGAAAGAAACTACTTTGATATTTCTGAACTGCAGGAAAAAACACATTCTATAAATTATGGTTGCCATCATCTCAGAATCTACCATTGTACACAAAGTACGGTGTATCACAAGTCCAGTCTCGCCTCATTTTATTTTCGCCCTTTCACACTTGTCTACAATTTTACCCTGTTTTAATTTCTCCCAGTCACAGTTCTGTTTAAGAAATTATACCGTGTTCTTTGAATTCGCCCCATTTTTCATTCGCCCACCTTTCAGTAGGGAGAAAGGAGCGAAAATAAAACAGGAGTGAAAATTTCCCTGTATACAGTAATTCCAAAAATGATGTCAGAACTTTTGTGTGTTCAGTATACTGGAAATTTGCATTTTTTTTTGTCCATATCAGAACACTGAAATAGAGCTATAAAGGGTTTCTTTGAAAAGACATTTGTGTTATCATAGCTTGTATCTTTGATTGATAAAGAATAAAAATTAATATTAAAAAAAGGCTTGAAAATACTTCAAATTCTTCAATTTTTCTTTTGAAAATCTGCCAGAAAATGAAATGCCGAAATGTCAAACTCTTTTTTGGTATCAAATTTGCCAAATATTCCTGATGTCAAAATAACTCAGTATACAGTAGCAGGTATAGATCTATAAAGCATCATTGCAATGAAATCTACTTTGGGATCTTTTTCAGGGCCTTTGGTGTGGTCTCTATGTGTATGGGGACAGGCATGGGAGCTGCGTGTTTGATCGAGTACCCAGGACTGGCCTAGAAAGCAGAGTTTATGAAGAGGAGGTGTGGCTTGTGAAGAGGAGGAGGAGCTTGGAAGGGGGAAGAGCCTGTGATATTTGTCAGTGAAATCCTCATCTATTTAAGATTAATTTATGAGGAAGACATTTTACTTTTTGATTTTTATTTGTCATGATCATAAGATCATTGAGCAGGGGAAAAATTGGTGCCGTTTTTTAATGAATGTCCAATTATGTACAAAAACTTCATTTCAGATGTGTAAATAAATGTATATTTATGCAGATGGTATTCATATAATTCATATGTTTCATAGGAATTATGTTGTCCATTTTACAGGGGATTGCAATCAAAGAACTGATTGATTAATACATTAAAGATGGGATGTACATGGCCTTTAATACATAATCTTATAAAAGTAAAATGGACACAAGTAGTACATAAAAATCAATCTATTATCTGTCTTTTCCTAAAAAAAAAGAAGCAAAAACATTAACTGATGATAACAATTAATAATTACAATGTACTTAATTTGTGTTAATAGCACAAACATATGAACTTTTTTTTGTCATCAAAATCAATTGTGATATGTTTTCTTACTAAATAAACTATTCATTCCAGATTTTGTCTGTTTAAATGATTATTCTCTTCATATATGATAAATTGACTTGAATTTCACAAAGTTTAGTCAAATTTTCCAGCAAGTGTCACAATGGGTGATGATCTGTAACAGCAATGGTTTAAAATAAGGTATGAATTGTTAGGAGTTGAATTGTTGAGACTGAATTTGTAAACTGGACTAAATTATTTACAATTATACCTATCAATAATAAAAGGTATATGTCATTTACGGGGATGCTTCATCGACACAAATTTTTTGCTTGCTGGGTACTGGATTAATGATGCTACATTGTCCATAAAATAACACCAGGTTACTGTGGAATCATTTTAATTCCTGGGGGTCAATGTTTGTGGCCTTGTGAAAATTAAGCAAAATTTAACTGGTTCCATGGGTTTCTTGTTTATAAAGTAGATTATATAGATTCAATGAAACAATATTTTTACAAAACTAGTAGACTAATTGTTCTCGAACAATTAGAGGTCTTTCCACCTTCTTTAAATTTCATATATTCTTCATTTTTAACTCTCTACTGTTTATTTTTATACAAGAAAAACCAGAAATTGCTTGAAAAATGGAAAAAATGAAAATTTTAAAAATTTTGAAATGACCTTGACCTTTGACCTTGAAAAAATAGTGAAGGTCAAAGGTCAAGGGTCACATTGCACTTGACCCCATGCTTCTACGACTTTTAGTTTTAAAGTTATAAGGTTTAACAGTAAGCAAAAAGACATTAAAGGGCAATAACTGATAGAATGGGGCATCGGATCCTTTCGCACTGAATAGACTGAAGTTGTGTCTAAAGACCCTGAAGAAATTAGTGAAGGTTTGATGTCTTTACGGTCTATGGTTTCGGAGGAGTAGCGATAACAAGATTTTTAATGAAAAGGGCAATAACTTTTAAAGGGGTCAAACTTTGGGGACAAGTATGAAATATTTGAAATAGTTTTAAGAGGACATATTAAAGATGCAAAGATATAGAATATATGTTGAAAGACAACAAGGATATAAAAAGAGCTTAATTTCTCATTTTTTGAATGACCTTGACCTTTGACCTTTGCATATATTTTAAGGTCAAAGGTCAATTAATCTTATGCAGTTGGTCCCATGTCTCTACGACTTATCGTTTTGAAAATTTTTAATTATTCGTAAACATCAAAAACTTTCAGGGGCAATAACTCATAAAAGGGGTCGACGAATACTTTTGCAATGAAAAGATTGAAGAGTCCCTTCAAGTAGCCGAAGACATTGGTGAAGGTTCCATACCTCTGCGGTTTATGGTTTCGAAGGAGTAGTGATAACAAGGTTTTATTGCGAAAGGGGTTGTAACTCCTTAAGGGGTCAAAGTTCATATACGCAGGGTCAACTGCAAAAATCTTTTACAAAGTACATTCTTATGGACCATGAATCTTTTCGATATCTTTTGAAACAAAAAACCATTCGGCGGAAAAATAATAAAAATAATAATAATAATAATAAACAGAACAATTTCAATAGGTCTTTCCACAGAAAGGTGGAAAGACCTAATAAACATTTATTGAGATGTAAATTTGTGGGTAAGGGTAAGGGTGACCCAAGAAATCCAGGAACATTGGTCCCCACGAACATAGATGATTCCATAGTATTTAATTTGATATACTGGATGTTCACAGTGAATGAGATCATTATTTTCCAGTTCAAAATTAAAACTTGATACCTCAGTTTTGGACAAAACAAGAACCATAAGTAAACAGCAAAAGCAATTGCTAAATACTGGATATTTTTTGAAAAAGACTAAAGATAAATTTACAGATCGGTATTTAAAAATGTATTCTCTTTAAGTACATGGCTAATGCATACAACATACAAGTTATAATCACCATGAGTATAAGAAAAAAATACATCTATTATAATGCATTCATAAAAGTTTCTGAACACGTTTTACTGTCTTCTCCACCCTGACATTAGCCTCCTCCACTGTCTTACTAAGTTTATCAATCTTCTCATCCTGATCGACCATTTCCTGTTGAACTCCGAGAGCCAGAGATTTCAAATCTCCCAGAATGCTACTAAGCTCAGACACTTCCTGGTCACTTACGATCTTCTGAGGGGCCTGTAGTGAGACTTGCTGTGATTGGTCCCTTGGATGTATTGCTGGATTTGATTGGTAATTTCCTGTCATGTGACCACCAGATGGTGGAATTCTGACTGCAGAAACATTATTGTCTAACCTGTCAGTTTTCTGATGAAACAGTTCTGCTGTAATGAGGAAAATTTATCTTTTATTGTTTATTATTCAAAGCTCACCACAGGTTACACACTCTGAATAATGAGTATTTAGTTTCTTAATTTTATAAGTAAATAAGTATTCTAAGCTCATGTATTTTTTAACTATGTTTTAAGGTTAGAAATTCTACTCTTATATATTAAGCAAAGTGTATCTAATAAGAAAGACAAATAAAGAGCAAGGTTCACTCAAGGTCTCTTTTAGTCCTGTGAATTTCTGTAAATTGAAACTGCTCAGTTTTAGTTGACATTGCTTTAAATATCACTTGGACCTTTCATGACTGCATATCTTTTGAAAATGCCATAAATTTCTTAAGCTATTCAATGCATTCATATATCGTCATGAATTGATTCACTTTTATTTCCATAGTCTGAAAATTTTGTCAAAAAATGGCCAAAAATTTGAGCTAATTTTCAATATTTAGTATAGAGAACAACCTCTGATCCAAAATGTGCAGATTTTTCATGACAGAACTGTTTCTGGAGATTATAATTTTTGGATTGCGGACCAGAGTGTTTTTAACAAAGCCTGTTTTCCAACACCTGGATTTTCAAAGGAAAGTATTTTATAAAATGAAAGTACTATGAAGTCTCTTCTTTATATTGATGTTTGAAAAGGACAAATGGTGATGTACATGTGTATGTACTAAATTAAGGATGGCCAGTTTATGCATAAAGTGAACATAGCTCTTTACCTAAATTTACTGGAAACAAGTAATTTGCAATACCTTTTACTTTAGTTAGGATATATTTGTCTTTCATGCAAGCACATTTCACATGACAAACTTCAAGATACTTACTAGAAGAGTTGGTGTTGACTGTCTTTCTAAGTGGCTTCATATTTGACGAATCTCCTCTGAAGGCATCCTGGGAGTATTCCACTTTACTACGAAGTCGTTTATCCAGGATACCAAGCACGCTATACACAGATGTAAACACGAGGCTGTATGATATATCTGCTTTCCCTATCTGAAACTGGGTCACTGTGATTTCCCACAAACTAACAACCCGAACCCGAGACACATCTTTCCACTTGAAGCAGTGTACCAGTTTCTGCTTTTCTGTCATCAGATAAATTCCATCTTGGGCTACTCTGAAGATTCCTAAGTTCTGTGCATTGAGTTTGTTTGGTTCTAGTTTTGTATACAGAATTTCATAATCCACCTCCATGGAGAGGTCAGCATCACTAACCACTAGGGGGTCATTGCTTTTGTACTCTTCTGGAAGTGACCAGCGTCCGAGCCAAGATTCTAAACCTGAAAGAAGATTTTCTGTCACGTCCAAGTCTGAATGAAGGTCCATCATTGTCGCCATGGCAGAATCGAACTGATGACCCTGCATGAGACAGATCATGAACTTGTAGTCAGAAGTCTATACCTACACAATCTGTGACAAGTTTCTATCAGTTTTATGGAACTAGATTTATTTTTATTTATGCTTGAAGTTAATTGTTAGATCTGCATGAACATACATTCATTATGTTCATGATGTAAAACATTTATCACTTAAGAGTACTTGTACTAGTCTATGTACAATATACAGCCAAATCCCATCTTGAACTTGATAGGTCCAATTAAGACACCCAAAGATTCAAGATATTAACAGGTTAAAATACATTTAAAAAGGGTAGTGAGTACTTTAAACTCACTTTGACACATCCATGGAATAGAAATATCAAAGTTCGAGATCACAAAGTTCAATTATGAAAATTTGATATTTAAACTTTTACATGTCTTTCATGAAATTTGATGTTTCCTTTATTTATAACATGCATTTTTATCATAATAAATCCATTTAAAATTGAACAATACATTATTTTTCATCAGTTGTTATAATATGTCAGTTGTACCTGTGTAACAAGTGTCTCTGCAGCATTTCTCAGTGTTGTCTCTGAGTCAATAGCAACACTCAGTAGATTTTGTCCCATTTCAGTTCGACCTTCTATTGTTTTATCCTGTGTAGAAGCATTCTTTTTCTGTAATAATTTTGACCTCAGAAAGAAGCTGATAAATTGCACAACTATATAAATATCAGAAAATGAAGAAAACCAATGTTTAGTTCCATTTTTTGTATCCAGCACCATGGCTCTAAATATTAAACCTGTCATGCACTTCTTCACTTGAACAATGTCAGAATATAATATATCTAGTGTGTTCTCATGATCTGTTGTAAATCTTATGCCATTGCCCATGATAAACAAAGTCCCATAAATCCATCTTCTTGAGGAGTTGTCATAATAACTACATGGCCATGACTTAATGGTGTAAGTCTCGTGTGTAGAAGACTCTGAAGACATTTTAACAAGCTCTCATTATAACTCCATGGAATTAAACCTACAAGTTAAAAAATGTTTCATATTTTACTGTAATATTTAATGACTAGTTCAGTATACACAAATAAGAATCAATTGCATCGGCAAATGTGTTCACTGTCATAAAGAATTAATGTTTGATATAGGGTGAATACATTAGCATTTGTCATAGGAGGGAGAAAATATACATGGAGCCATCCAGGATTTAAACCCTGGACATTCTCCGCAATAAACGTGACAATCCAAAAACGTATAAGAGACACCGACGCAAAATGATAAAAAAAAAAAAAAAACTAAAAAGAATTTTCTTCTTTGCTCATACACAGGTACTTGGGTTTTTTGTTTATAAATATGTATGTACCTTATTGGTATGTACTTTTTCCAATATCAATAAAGGTATAAAGGCCTACATATTTATAAACCAAGACCCAAGTACCTTAGATAGAATGTTCTATCGTTAAAATGATAAATGTCCTACAGACTCGGTTTAACGATAGAATGCGTTCCGTGTATTGTCAATGTAGCAAAGAAAATACGGGAGATAACTCTAACTCAGTGCATTTACTTTGAAAAATCCCGAGAGTTCCGAATGTCAACATGGTGTGTAAATTTGAAACGAGTAAAAAACGTTGGTGAAAAAGTGTTGAAGAGGTTGGGACCAATCGCCCAAATGGGATATAATAGCCCGTTTGGGATATAATATCCCAAATGGGATATAAATTTACAGTGCAAAAGATGAAAAAATTTAATTTTGGCTATAAATATCTTAAATCCGCATCAACATACTTATAAAGGAATAACTTTTGGTTTACGAGTTTTTCTGAATGCCCACTGTTTATGAGATTGATCCCTCGGAAGTTCCTAAACTTCTTGGGGATCAATCTAACAAACTGTAGGGTTGCAGAAAAACTTGTATGCCAAAAGTTATTCCTTTTTAAAAATTCTGATGCGGATTTATGATATTTATAGCCAAAATAAAATTTTTCATTTTTTGCACTGTAAATTTATATCCCATTTGGGATATTATATCCCAAACGGGCTATTATATCCCATTTAGGCGATTGGTCCCAACCTGTTGAATTCTTCCATTATATGGATTAAATTTTTAGATGAAAGGTATTTACAGTCTCAAAAAGGTTTGTTATGATTAATTTTACTGTTATTTTCAATGCAACTTCATGAATTTTCTCCAAAATCGTTTCGGAGCGATTCTGCAATTTTCTGCTACATTACGGGTATATGGGAGGCATTCTAACTGTGGTGAGGGCCTGTCCCGAGACACAGTTAGATTATTCTAACTACAAGTACCTGTGCTCATGCAATTTTTGTTCATTTCTTGAAAGTATTCCGTTTCATAAAATTGCAAGTCAACAAAGTATTCTGATGATGTATTAACTCGTAACCCCCTCTCAAAATGCACTTATTGTTTGACAGTGTTCTACGGCTATGAATACCTTGTTGTCAATCTTCATCGCCTACTTTCATTTTCTATAAATAATTTGAGAGTTATGTACCTTAGCGGAAGTATTTGAATCATGGAACACCATTGGACAGGCGTGTCAAAGTAACGGTCGGTTTAATTGGTGGATACTGGGCGGTATGTGTTTCCCATAGTATCGAGCATGTGGCTATCAAGTATCAACAGGTAACTTCTAGGAGATTTACATTGTTTACTTTTGTTTATCTGAATGAATGGCTAGATTTAAATAAACATGGTCCTTTTAAATTCCTGGACGTTTTGGTGAGTAAAAGTTATGTTTTCTATGTGATATGAGTAAAATGGGAGGAAAATCTGGCTCTGGTTAATATCAGCTGATCAGATGAATGATCACTGCAGTAATACTATGCATTTGTTATTTTTCAGTAGGCAGAAAACTCCAAATCTGATTTAAAGACGGAAAGCATTCTATACTATCACTGTTTTTATGTCACATGCATGATCGTGATAATTTAACTGCCCTTGTAGGTATTTTTCCAATTATACTATTTTTATAGGCTTCTCCTTGCTATTTAGCTGCTATTTAGCTGATGTACCCTGATTGTCAGCAGTAATACTATTATGAAAGGGTCTGTTTTAAGCTTTAAAAATTAAATTCCGTCCTTCAGGCTCCTAGACAAAAATTGCTCCTAGACGAAAATTTTGGCCTGTATCATGATGATTATCATTGATTTACAAACAGGAGTCTTATTTTTTTAACTGGCCATAATTGTGTCAGCTAGAGATATGTTATAATTTTTCCAAATGCAATTTGGAGGGTATATAGACTTGCTCCAGTAAATAAAATATTGATTTGTAATATTTTCGAAAATATTAAAAATTGGCTGCTCGATCTGCACTTTAACCATTTTTTAAGAATTACACAGATATTATAATCATCATGATCTTGATGCATGTTTGGTAATTAATTAAATGCTTAAAGTGCTTTTTGACTATAGAAATCAACAGAAAACAGAAAATATTTTTAAAACATCAAAGTTAAAAACAGCATCATGAGGTTCTCAAAAATATTCTCCCTATACATTTCACACAGTCTACTCCAATATCTACTCATTAATAAAAAGTGCTTCTCTATCAATTAATGCATTGAAATTTATTTTGCTTTGAAATTCTGCTAGTTTACTGAAATTTGTTATGACATGCAGTTTGATTATATCGGAGTCCCCTTTTGTAAATTTGCAATTCAACAATATAAATAACAATAACCCGATATTATTTAAACTTGGCGTTTATTTGACAAACTTCCAAAGTAATTCATTGAATTTGCATTGTGTTTCATTTTGAAGGCTGCATTGTAGTCTGCTTATATATATCATATTGATGAAATTTAAAAAAAAAAAAAAATCAAAAAAATTCATATGCACCAACCTTAATACTATGCTTCAAGGATATGAATTCAATAGTGACAATTAACTGTTAAAACTCGAAACAGATTTAAGGTCTTTGCCAATTAAATAACATATCTGCTTATATATATAATCATGTTAATTGATTATTTTTTGTATGTAAATTGAATTTTATTTTCATTGATTGTGATGAATTTTAATCGTTCAAACTGGAACTTCTGGTTACATGAATTTAATGTTAAATTTAAATATTCAAATAAAATATACTGTATATAGATTATTTTGTATCGGTTTATTTTAGTGCTGTCATGGAGAATCAATACTTAATATTTGTAGTAAAAGTAAGTCAGTTTTAAAATGCACTGTCAGAGCAAATCATTTTGTAAATGTTACATTCTTAGAGGTCCATCAGATAAACATCTCACTGTCTGCATAATTTAATTTCCCCAACAGGTTTTTTTTTTTTTTTTTTTTTTTTTTTTTTTTGCATGACTTAATTATGAAGTAAAAAAAAAATACCAGGTACTACAATTTCTCCATAGAAAAATCCGAAGATTTCATTATGTTGTCTAAATTAAAAATGTACATGAATACTAAAACTCTTATCTTTGGCAGCCATACAGAGTTTATTTCATCAATTTCTTTCTAATTTAAATAAAAAAGGAAAGAGCACATTTTTCTGACATGAAAAAAATACTTAATATGCATATAAGATAGTAGTAGTAGTAGTACATGGTATTATAGCAGAGGGAATAAATGTTGATGTTATTTTATACCCCCCCTTTTTTTTAAGTTTTAATTGATCATTATAGATATATGTATTGTGTATCTATGACCAACATGTTTTTAAAATTTGCAAGGAAGGCATTTGAATGATATACAAATTAGCGATGATACAGCAGAATTATGCCCCTTAAAAGAATGCATTGTTGATATTGACAAAGTTTACAATGATCAGAGATAAAGAATAAATTGTGATCATTATAGATTATTCTGTGTTTTAATGTTTTAGTACTCTTTGTGTCAGTGATATGATCCATTTAATGAACAGATAGGACAAGCATGCACGGGAATATGATCATAAAAGGATTAAAAGAATACACTACCAACTTTGACCTTGAAGTGGTTTATTTTACTATGTCAATTTGTGAACTAGTTGGCTCTGCACAAATTGTCTTTAAACACTTAGCTTGTCCATATATTTTTATAAAATAATTTATAAAATATTGTAGTTTTCTTATAGGGCTGTCACGGTTCCAAATTTTTCAGGTCGGGTCAGTTCTGTAAATTTTCGGTTCGGTTTCAGGTTTTTTGGGTCGGTTATTTACATCTATTTTAAACCTTAATTTCATGAATTTTACTTGAAAAACCTTTATTTGTTATATTAAATTTACATTGAAAACAAGTCTTAACCATGCGAACGTCTAGACATCGGTGACTGAGCCTACTATTAGCCACAACCTGACCATTCCTGCTCGTTTTGATTATCTAATACTTCCGTGACAAGCGTTTTGTCATGGAATGAAGTAGATTTCAGTTGTGATGTTTATTTATCACTGTTATCGTGAATAATCGTCATCATTCCTTCGATTTCAACGCCATTTTTTGTTTTGAAAAGACTCTAATATATAAATCAGACCCGAACCGTAATACGGAAAAATGGAACTGGAACCGAACCGAACAACTTTGACCGCGGTTCTCGGTTATTTCGGGTACTCATGACAGCCCTATTTTCTTATGCATCCTCCAGAAATCTATTCTCACTGTTTCCATGATCTGTAAAGAATGCCAAGCATATATACCATGAAACACAATTATACTGAACTTATATATAATATGTCTATTAAGGCAATAAATGAAATTCTTTGAAAAAAAAAACTCTTGTATCCTATTTATACCATTAAAATTTAAATTACTTAAAAAAAAATCCGTATAAATTCACTGAAAAGCTACTAAGTCTCGGTTGTGCAGGTATTAAAACAGAAATTCTGGACACTGCATGCTCAAGCAGAATCACTTGAATGTGACTATTCCTCAGGCTTTCCCCTTCGTCTAGAGAAAGATAACTGGTCCTTAGTCATGTTAGTGTGTCAAATGGTTATCCTGGGCTTATACAGGAAGCTATAAATTGGAAAAATTATGAATCATGTATAACTATATTGTATACTACTTAAATCAATTAACACTGAATATGTCTTAGATATTGGTAAAACTGAAGAGCTGTGATTATTTGTTAACCAAGAAAAAAACAATATTTTTGCTTGAAATTTGAACTTGAAAGTCTATTTATGAGAATCAATGTATATTAGCTAATGTTTATATATATATATATACAAATCTTGTAAAGTTCATGCAAGTGAGTTCAGACTATTCAATAAGAAAATGATGGACCAAGTCCTGATTTGATTATCACGATTTTGGCAGGCATCACCTGAACTCCAGAATGAAATCAATATAATGGTGTTGCTTATATAACACATTTCCAGCCAAAAAAAACCCACTCCCAAATTCCTGCTATTCCTACCATATTGATGGTGTTTTATTTTTGAAAGTACCGGTATAACTTTGAATTATTCATCGTTGGGTCTCCCTATAAAGGGCTTTTACGTCAGCATTGAGGAGCACATCAAAGACCCTGATCAAAGTCACTGTAATGCTTGCTTAGATTACCGGGAGACACTCAAAGCTCAGTGGCATTCACACATATACGTACATTTCATAGATTAAAACTTTGTAGTAGCAGTGGGTTTAGTGTAATCAGTTTGATTTTTATATATTGGAACAGATCTTAGATTGCTTCCATTAATTGATATGAAAATTGTTGAGCAACCCAGATACAAACGTAAAAATTCTATAAATTGAGGACTCGTTAGATTTTCCTATTTCCAATTCAAAAAGATACCCTTAAATAAGAATTTTTCCAGTTAATTAAAGCATACTACATTGTTTTATGTATACTAAATTTTGGACATTTATTCTTAAAGTACACATGCATGTAATGCAAACAGTCTTACCAAGATGTTTGTTTTATCTCACTTGTTCTGAATTAGTTGTTGGCAAATCCAGTGCAATGACTATAGTGTTCACTTATTTATTTTATTAATTAGTAAAAGACCTTGCTTTATTACACAAAAGTTAATCATGTGTGAATTCTATAATGAACCAAACCCAGCATTTTGTTGTTGACCACCAGTGACATTGTAATACAGAGAACACATATGGTTTTGAGATGCAGTTTGGATTCGGGACAAAAAAAAGAGGTGTAATGGCCTTTTTGATGATTGCATGTAGACGTGGGGAAGATGTATAAAGAATAAATGATGCTGGCTGTTAAAACTCCAGCCAGGAATAATTGATTGTGAGGAAGAGTTTCCCATTAGAGGGTATATATATTTAATCTTGTTCTATACAGATGTATCTGGTTATGTAACATGGTGGAATAAAAGTTGTCAGGGGAAAATGAAATTCCTGATTTGTGACCGAAAGCAGTTTGTAGATGGTTTTCATCATACAACTGCCCCTTTTAAAAGTTTTTTAGTGGAGATGGGTTTGAACTAGTTAACGACGAAGAAAGTTTGCATTTGTATACCCTGAATGCCAGTTAAATGTCTTGAAAAGCTTCTGAAGGTTCAAATAATTTACAATTGGATTTCATATTTGAATTTGGATTTTTAATTTAGAGAGTTTAAAAGCCCGTGCTGTGTAAAGTGTTATAGTGTCCTAAGGCTTAAAGTACACCATTACTCTAGGTCCTTAATACATACAAAGTTCTTATATGGAGTGCTTACCTAGAAGCTAAAGTTCTGTGGTGCATTTTCTTTCTTGGTAATATTCTCTGGCAGGTAAATGATATTTATCTTTTCTCAGTTTTATTCCATTTTCATAAAATGAAATAAACAATCACTAAGCATTTTTGAATACAAACCAAATTTCGTTTACTTATCTTGTCAATGACATTCTAAATTAAAAAATAGATTATGAATATCACCTGCGAGTTATTATATTTCCCCTTTATTTTTCTTTTCTTTTTTTAATTTTACATTTCACACGATATACTTGAGGCATATAATCCACAGTGAATATAGCCTTCACTTTCTTCATGTCATTGGTATGGTGCAACATGTGACTTGGCATTGTCCTTGATAATTAGTTTGACAGAAGAGTTATTGCCCCTGACAGGTTCATCTGCAGTGCAATGATGTGTCATTTCTGTCAGCGCTGCTCATAACATATTGCTGCAGAAAGAAATCTGTTATAACGAGAAAAATAATCAGATGATTCTGATCGTTTTGACCACAGGATCTAATAGGGGATGAAATTTAGAAGTTACTGAGACTATGTGAATTATTATATTAATGTTTGTCAAGAAAGGGAAAAGATGAAGTAATTATAATAATAAAAAAAAATATTTAAGATGAAATTATCCATTGATATAATTATTTGATTTGAAGTGTTTAGTAGCAGGAATATATACATGATATAACTAGGCATAAGTTAATTTAAAAAAAAAATCTAAACTGTAATAAGTACAAGTAATAAGTAATATAGTTGTTATATCATTCTTATGAGCATCTGATGTAAGTTGGATTTTTTTTTAATTAAAGTTGATAAACAAATTATGAAAAAATTACACATTTTAAGTAACGTCATAATATAGAATTTCTTAGAGTGTATATTGTATCTAAAAATATTTTTCCTAAATGTAATAAACGTTTCCATTTCCTAATGGAAATTTGTAAATATATTCTTTCATTTTATTTAAAAATTCTTTGAATACTTAGGCAAACATTGAAATAAAAATTAATTTAGTCAAGTGACGGCATATTATGCTAGCATTCATCAGTAGTACATAGGGATTTAAAGAACCTTTGTGTCAATGTGAGAAATGCTTGTACTTAGAGAGATCATTTTAAAAGCTGGTTTGTAGGTTTAACACCTTGAGCTCCTTGACAATTTGTTGATGGACAGAATTATGAAATTTATAACAATTTTAGTTCATGTTAGCAATCTAAATAGTCATTTTATTTACTTTAAAAGTAAAAACTTAGGAAACGCAAGTTTTATCTAAGCTGGTATAATTGTTTAGATCATAGATGCAATTTTGGCAGGTTGGATAACATGTACAGTCAAACCTCATTATCTCAATGATGGGACCGAGACAAAACTTTGAGATATCTGTGAAAAAACAAGTTTTCTTAATACAAGAAACAAGATTTGAAGGGAATTAAGCTTTATACTGCAAATAAAAACTTGATGAAAAGTAACAATTTAACTTCTTTGTGTTTACAGACTTTTATCTGACAGGAGAGGATACTAATGGGTGTCCAATAGCCAGGCCACGTGATGGACCATCAGCACAATATAAGATTCTCTTGACCTTTGACCCTGGACCTCCACAATGGGGGACACTAATTTAAGTAACCTGACTGCCAGCTTGGAGGAACTGTCCCTCAAGAAACAGCTCCCTTTGCGGCAGACCACACAGAAACCAGTGCTGAAGTACAATCAACAAGTGACCAGACCAAACCAGTTCTACAACCAACAGAAGGTGATAGCCATAGGTGAGTAGTAAACAGATCCAAACAGTTTTACCTTGTAAGCAGAAATTAGGAACATAGGTAAGTAACCAGATCCAACCAGTTTTACCTAATAGGCAGTGATACCTTTAAGTGTTACTGGTAAGGACCTGAGGATGTTGATAGCCAAAAGGTTAGAAGGTAGTTCCAACCAGTTCTACATCAAGCAGATGATAGATGCAGAGAAGAAATGATAGGTGCAGAGAAGTAACCAGGTGGAACCAGTTTTACTCTGGAGCTGATAGCCACAGATAAGAATTAATCAGCTGAAACCAGTTTTACTCACAGGCAACAGGTGATAGCCACAGGTAAGAATTAACTGGTTAGAACCAGATTTACTCAGAAGGAGCTGATAGCCACAGGTAAGAAGTATCCAGAGAGAACCAGTTTTACTCAGCAGGAACTAATAGTCAAAGTAAGAATTAACCAGCTAAAACCAGTTTTACTCACAGGCCTTCGAAAATGTGCCGGTACCCGGTATTTTTACCCGGTTGAAGTCATAAATGTACCGGCCAAAATAATCTTTGGAGAAAAATTTGATTACATATTTAATTAAAATTGTTTCCACAAGGAACCTCCTATTTTTGAAAAAAGTACTGTTTCTAATTTTTTAACAGCCATGTTAACTCAGCAACAGCTTATAATCAAGGTAAAAATTAACCAGCTGGAACCAGTTTTAATCAGCAACAGCTGATAGCCATAGATAACTTTTTAAAAGAATAAACCAGCTAAAACCAGATTTACTCAGTAGAAGCTGATAGCTCTAGGTTAAGAAGTAACCATATACATATAACCAGTTTTACTAAGCAGCAGCTGAATAGCCACAGCTATGAACAATGAAATAACCAGATTTAATCATTTCTGGAATCGGTTAAAGGGATACGTACTGTAGATCACAAAATTTTCACAGCACTTTATTTTCTAGAGATTGTTGTTAAGTATTTTTAAGCGAAACAATTTTTTTTTTTTTTTTTACAAATAGTGGCTATTCCTCTATTATTATATAATCTTTAATAGTAAAATTATATGTGTGAGAATGAAATTTTTGTGAACATTTGGTCTTGCGTAATTACCAGAAAATAAAGTTGTCGAAAATAAAAAGTGAATTACATACAGTAAAGCCATGTAAGACTCTAAGAGAGGCTGTTTACAAATCGTTGAGGGCCAACAGATCCCATAGTGTTGATCCATCATTATTAAATTATAACAATAGAATTAAAGTAAAATTTTGGGGAAAAAAAATCTCAAACATGGTCTCTTGTATTTAGAAACTTCAGAACTTCATTCTATTCAAGTCTCATGAGTCTATTTTTTTTTTTTTAATAGAAAAAAAGAAAGAAAGAAATAATGACAACAAGCAACCAATAAAAAAAAAAACAGACAGACAAACAAATTTTAACATGATCTGTTCTAATCCTATTCGGTAACAAAATGTTTGTGATGCAGAATGTATTCTTGTGCTAAATTTATTTTCTTGGACCTTGGAAAAGAATATCTAAGAGAAACACCTTGCCTCAGCAAATTGTACCATAAATAGAAATCTTGCCAGCTTTCCCTTTGTAGATAACATTGTATTAAAAGTAAATTAGTTCTGTAAAATAAAACCAGTGAATTCACTCTCTGAAACTGGAGTATGTCTTGTAGAAATCAGGAAACTCTTACAGCCTTATACGAGGGATATTAATCTTGTGTTAATTGTGCAAGATATTGACTTTTTATTGGAAATCATTACTGGACAGTGTTCTAATTAGTGCTCGCATCCTGTTGGACTTGTCAACTTCTTGACGGAATCTAAAGCACACAAATCTTTGGTAATTGTAAATCAATTAATTTCTAATGCCCTCAGGCTAGACCGGTCAAAGAGGGGGACAAAGAAAAGAAAATCAGTAATGAACATTGATTGTTTTTGCGATCACGATAATATTGCTCAACAACAAATGTTTTTAGGAGATATTCCACCATTATCCAAAGTGGGCTTATGGGGGGTTTCATGATAAATCCAATTTGGAGCGTATTCCGTGTTTCAGCTTTCATGGACATTTATTGGTAGATGAAGACTTTAGACTGTATGGTACATCTCTAGTTTTAGGATTGGAAATTTTGTCTGTGATAGGATTTTTTTTGAAAGATTTTCACTTTTGGATGTATGGTAATTTACCCAGACTGGTTTTTTTTCTTCCTTTTTTTGTGTATGAAAGTAGTGCCAATATTTTTAAAATTATTTTAATGTTAAGCAATGTGTTTAAACGTAATTTTCTTCCTAGTAAGAAAACCAATACCTATGTAGAAGGGGAAAAGAAGCTAATTTTGTTTATATAATTTTAGTTAATCTGCAAAATAATTATGAAGTTTTCGAATTATGTTTGTCTTGAGTATGTTGAGGTCAAATTAGCCAAAGAAAAAATGCGTTTAAGTACAGAATAGGTGTTAGCTAGAAAAACTTGATAAAATGTTTGATACTTTTCAGGGCCTGATGGAAACAGTGCCTATAGCAACCTCAACCAAGCAGCCTTGACCTCTCCTATGGTCCCAACTCCCTTTAGAGTCAGCCGCCATCCTAATCCTGCTCCTGTCCCCTTCAACAAAACCGGGGGACAAAATTATATATCCCCAAACAATGTAGGTAAACCGCCCATTTCCCAGGCTGCCAAACAACATGCCAATCCTTACAACCGCCCGCTCAGTGCCAAAGACATTGTGTCAGACCTGCTGAACCAGAATCATCAGAAAATGGTGAAAACTTTTGGATCCACCCCTAGTTCGGGAGTTCCCTCCTCCTCTTCTATGCTGGGGAGTGCTAGTAGTGCTTCAAGTAGCAGCAGTGGGGGCTCAGCATTTCCTGTTAACTCTTTCATGAGGCCTCAGAGTGCTGTTAGAAAAGAGACTAAGGTGGTCCAAAAAGATATCATTCCTCCTAAGGAGATAGGTGCACTTCAAAGAGAGGCTCATATTGTTCAAAGAGAGGCTCATATTGTTCAAAGAGAGGCTTTTGTAGCTCACAAAGAAGCTCATATTGTTCAGAAAGAGAGTTCAAGTTCCAGCAATTCAACAAAAGATCAAAATGTTAAAATGAATATTACTGATGGTGTGAAGAAAGCTGTGAAACAAAATACAGATGAAAAAGACAGTGAAATTGCAAGGCCCAAGTCTGCAGTAATGAGTCAAAAGACAGTAACACAACAAGGGGACCAAGTCATCACACGACAAGGCATGAATGGTGTCACTGTTATACAGAAAGTGGCTGCCCCACCAAACTTTGGAACTCAGATCAACACCATTATTTCAAAAGTCACAGAGTCGTCCAAAGTAGAACCTCCACAAACCAGTTCAGTTTCCAAAACCACTACACTGAAACATTCCTCCTCAACCTCGTCCCTTCCAAGACCAGGAATGTCTGGTAACAACAACACCACCAAAGAATCCCCCAGCAAAATACGCAATCTGAACTACACGCCCACCAAGCCATATGAGGAAGTCAAAGATCCCAATCCCACTTCCAAAACCATCAAGGAAGAGGAAAAGAAGTCTAAGCAGCAACCAGCAACATTGGAAACTCCAATCTCTGAAAAGAAACCACCCAAACAAGAGACTTGGGCCCATCAATTGAAGCAGCCTGTATCCTCTACTGCACCCAGCCAGGGCCGTGATGGCACATCATATTACCGTAAAGGATCAAAATCGGAGGTTATGGTACACGAACAGAGACCTCCTGTTTTGGGAGCTCCAGCAAGAAACCAGAAAATTCTGGACAAAGTTGATGTGGAAGATGATGGTGAAGAAGATGAAGAAGAGGAGGAGGGATCCACGCCAGGGTAAGTCTGCATGTATATGTCTGTGTTTCTGCATGTATTGTTACAGTGCATGTCTGTACGTGTCAGCATGTCTCTGTGTCTACATGTCTGTGTGTCTGCTTGCCTGCATATACAGGATCATAACAGTCTGCATACCTGTGTGTCTGCATATCTTTGTATAAATCTTCTTATCTTTGCATGGGACTGTCAGTCTGTATGTCTGTCTTTGTATCTGTGTGTGTGTCTGCATGCCTGTATGTTTGTGTAGCTGTCTTTGTCTGCATCTGCACGTCTGTGTCTGTCTGTAGGTTTGTCTATATGTCTCTCTGCATGTGTATCTGTCTCTTGCGTTTTCAGTTTGTATATCTTTGAAGCTATTAATTTGTTTTTGTATCATTTGTGTGTGTGTTTGTCTGTCTTTGTTTCTGAATAAGTAAAGCTTTCTTTTAAAATTTATATGTTAATTTGTTGAAGAAGAAAAAAAAACTAGTGAAATCATGAAGGAGTAATTACATTTGTAGTTCCATAAACATTGATTACATGAGTTCAGTGTTGTAATTTTATTTGATCTTGGTTATATATTAAAGACAATAAATCCCTCTCTGTGGGTGTAATAGCACAGAATTAAGTGATATATAGGAAAATCAAGTCATTTATCTCGTCTGAGTTATTTAACTTTTTCTATTCTCTGTTACATCAGTTGGCATGCAGATCAGTTGCTTCTGAAAGTGTTATCTATAGTACTGAGTTAAAACCAAGCATACATAGTTTGATAGCAATCTTATTGCTTTATAGACTTAGTTGGCTAAATGCCTCTTTGAGGTCCCATTCATCATTGTGTAATGTGCATACAAAAAACAAATAGCTACCCTGTAAATTGATGCACAATCATCAGGTTTGAAAGAACAAAAGAAGAACAAGACATTTACAGAAAATCACGGCATGATCCAATTCCTCTTTGGCAGGACACAGTTTTCAACCATTTAATGTTATGTTGGGCATGATGACCCGCAGTATCAAATGGCCATAGTTTTCTTGTATGGTGCCATCACTTCTAGCCTAGTCAGGTCACCCGAATGTTCAAATGAAGGTACACTTTGGCTGGAACTTATCAAAGGTCTGATACAAAATGCCTGCAGTATGGAGTTTCTTTATGCATTTGAGGTATTGTAATGTTTCATTTCTTAAGTCTGTCAAAGTGTAGCATTGAACATTCAATGACAGAAGCATTTTCTTAATGCATGTATGCAACCTTTAGTGTAAACATTGTTTTTTTTTGTATTGGACTACAATTACTTTTTCAGTGGTCCTTGTATTCCCGTAAATGTTTAGATTTGAGGTTAGGACCTTTCAAATGTGCATTTATGGGGTTTTATATAGAGATTACATTTAATTTGAATGTCTCGTGTAAGGGATAAGAATTATGTGAACATTGAATACAGGATCAGCATTGGGGTGGAATTATAAGGATTACCAGGATTAAGATAATTCATGTCAAGATTGGGTCATTGGAGGAGGTTCTAAAGAAAGGTGAAGTAATAATAAGGTCAATGTCAGGATTAGAAGAGGTCACAGTGGGGAGAAAATAGACAGAACTCGTCTGACAAAGAACTTTAAGATATATCAAGGAACTCTGGGAATTCAACCTCACTTCCACAAATTCATGGTATTCAAGATATGGAAGTTTGACATATTAAGGTTCTCCTGTATTTTAAGTAGACATTTCTGATTTTCATTATTGCGCACCTCAACATCTGTCAGTATAATCTAGTTTTTATCATGATTAAGCAGTTTCTGTTGAATATTTATTTCTTTGAATGATTGATTAACTGAAAGATTACTGCCATATTTTGGGTTGCGAGTCAACTTTCTCAGTTTCAATTTTCAACTATATGAAAAAGGAGAATTGATTATCAATCCATTATTAATAAGCAGAGGCGATGATCAGAATTATTTAATATGCATTTGTTAAAAAAAAAAGATTCTATTTACCTTAAATTTTTGAGCAGTCAAGGACATCTTATATTCTCAAATTTTATGTTCATGACGGTTGTTTTCTAATATTTCTTATATTGAATTTTCTAATATTGATGCTTGGATCCAGTACTGTGAATTTCATATGTGTGAAATTTTATTTATTTATTTATTTTTTTTTTAGCTTTTTAATTTAAAAAAGTAGTCAGTTTTTTTGGTACAGAAGTAAAGTCTAAACCACAAAGCACGGTCAGTTGATGGGACCTTTCAGCTTTTAATGCAGAAAGTGAAGTATGAAAACTTTGGCTCTTTGTACAGTAGATGACCAGGTTTGAACTTTCAGTCATTTCATTGTGAACAAGTATAATGACTTGTCATTCAGTAGCCCTCTATCATTTAGAAATATCTGAAATGCCCACTTTTGGGCTTAATGTATGAGGAATCTTTTAGATTAAGTAGCTAACAGCAGGAGGATATATGGTTTCTTTCTAATTCTTCCATTTTGGGGTGGCCAGCTTTTTCCTACACCATGTTATTAGATAAAGTTGCTTAATTGGAAAGCACTCAAATGAAGTATCAAAAGCATTATAAGCTCTGTAATGATTGAGGCATTGATTTTTTTTCCTCCCCTGACAAGAGAATTCTGTTTTATAGAATTTAGGACAATAAGAATTACATGGTCACAAAGATAGCAGAGAATATTCATTTATATTGACTTGCATAGTTTATAGCTAGTTCATTAATGTTTTGTTTTACAACTTTCTGACATGGGCAACATTTCAGTCTATATTTCTAACTTTTTGGAGTCAACAGATCTGTGAGTAAAACTGATAAATATATATATATATATTTACAGATTAAGGGACAGGTCATCCCGAAAATTTGACAATTTTTATTGTTCTTGTCCGTCATTTTTAGTGCTTTATATGAAATTCCATCCGTGACCTTGTATCTACTTATTAATAGTAGATCCGACACTTAGGATATACAGTGTTGTTGGTTTTTAGTGCTTTTTATATTTACAGATTTATAGATATACTTTTGGTTTGTACATATAAACTAATGAAAAAGTTTAAAAATATGAACTAGAACTGCAATGAAAAAATCTTAGATCTGTGTGAATCATTGACATTGTCTGAATCTTAGTATGATTTCCCAGTGCCATTAACTGTGTCCTTAAAGGACAACCCCTCTTGACCTCCGCCAGAGATTTAGAGAAGATCTGCCGTTAATCACTAGAAAACTTGTAAGACTGGGATTCCAATGTCTGGAGATAAACTGTCTTTACCGGGCTGAACATCTCTAAGTGCAATTCTCTCAGTAAGTCCTTGGTAGCAGTGGCATTTGATGAACAAGAGCCAGTTGTGACAGAACTTGGTCCTGTTTATACAGAGAACATGAGAAGATTTAGGAATCAATTTGAGGTTCAATACATCAATGTCAATGAAGTACTTGTGTTGACTTTGTGACTTGTATATTTCTGTACACTGATACCTCTTGACTTTAATGTTGCATTAAGGTTTTTTAATATTTTTTTTTTAAGGGCAAGCATTTTCAACATTTTTCATGAAGACTAGGTACATGCAGTGATTACTATGTATATTGCTTTACTCATTATGTATGTGCATTTACTTAAGAACTCACAAGACAAAATTGTCTGCTTGAATACATCTAAATGGTGTGTCAGATATTGATGTACTTCAGTCATCTGAAAGTAGTGGAATTCTTAGCCTGTATTGATTACCAAATATCTACAGCTTTTAGAAATTTGAAATGTTAATGTAAATTTTTTTTTCAAATTGGGAATTAAAGATCTCCTGGGTGAAATTAGGGAAATTTTAGAATCATTATGTGTTTAATAGGTGTTCAGATCTTTTATAGAATTCCAATATGATCATTTTTATTGATGAAACCATTTATTCCCGTACAGGATTTAATGGGGTACGGATTTTTTTGAAAGTTGGCAAGACCCTGCAACATGCATTTTTAAAAAAGCGAAAATTTAATTAAACCCTTTTAAAATGACAGAACACTAAAAGCTGAGGAAGTTGATGATATCTGTTATAAATATTGGATTTCCTGGGTAATTTTTCTCCAATTCTTTTTATCTAGTCGGCAAAATATTGATCAGGTACACAGGGACCCACCACTTTGAAGAGGGCTGTTGAAATTTTTAAACATGATTTGTAACTCTGTTTTATCGCAATACTTCTGAGGGCTCTTCAGCTTTACAAAGAACACAAATTTTATGGACAGAAAATGACGTGAACATGGTTTTTGTCTGTATAACTTGAATTAGTGATAGCTTGGTATTGACAGGAGGGTAATATTTTATGTGTATCACCGACAGCTTCATGTGATCTGTAAACTTAGCACTCATACCCACAGATTCGCACTAGAAGTTTGTATTGTTTATTAGCAAGGAAACGTGTAGATGACTTAAGAACCTCTCTTTGTCTTTCTCGTTTATTAGAATTTCTGTCAGTGGGTTTCCATATTAGAATATTTTCAATTCCTTTCATTTTAAATGCTTAAGAATTGTCTTGTTTATAAGTCTGAAGATTAGAATATCCCCATATTAAATGCTTTCTTTACATGATCTACCAGACTTGGTTTATTCGTTTGGTCATTATACTTTAGTACCCAAATGTGCTTAAATTGTCATTTTATCCCAGAGTTTGTTATTTGATCATTTTGAAGGAACCGTGCATTAGCACTATCTTAAACATGTTAAATGTAATTGTGTTTAGTAAGTAAGTGTCATGATCCAGTTTAATTATCCAATGCTTTGTGATTAATTCATTTTATGGAATACCTTCAAAGGTGTATAGGCTTTGCATGTCTTTCTCTTGGTTTTACATAACACATGCTTTGGTCCATATTGCTACATAATTGATAAAACATTGGTCTCCAACCAATTTATTCACTCGTCTACCACTGCTTTTGGCACTTTCTTGTGAATCAGATTCAATTATGTCTTTGAATTTAGTAACAAGGTTTCCAATTAAAAGACATGTCTAGTATACAGTCTATTTTATCAAATGCATTGAGGATCCCCTGCAGATTCGGAGTATAACCTGTTTTAAAAAAATACCGAAAAACAAACAAATATTACATGTTCTCAAGGAAAAGATTTAGATCTTAAACGTCATAAAATGAAATATGACCGGTCATTTGGCAATAGAAGATATCATGCTGTAAACTTTTCAGTTTAGAAAGATGACACATTGCCTTGATGGCATAAGTTGGTTTTGATAGGGGTCCATCAGATACAATCTAACCTTTAAATGCTGGAATTTGCAGGGACATGTACGCGGGGTTTGCGTGATGTTTTAAATTCTCTATAATTTATTGGTCTAGTACGTGTCATTTAGACTTTAAAAGGGTTTCTTTTTAGTTTCTGAAATTACACAATTTAACAGGGTTTAAATTTATGATAATTGATATTGGAATATTATTTTGCAATATTTTAAACAAGAATTTAGTTTAAATACAGGTATTAAAAATGCCATCAAAAATCTTGAATTAATTTTGCAAGAAGTTGAAAATTATTTATTTGAAGCAATTTATTAAGGTAGGTATTACAGGGTTCTTAAATAATTCTTTGAAGTTGTGAATTTCAATCCAGAATTAGAGAGATCACAATTGACCAATCAGTGAATCCTCGTATTTTCTTCAAGTTGTAAAGTAAGGCAGTGTACTGATTGACTTAAACAAATGAAAATATGTTATTTGTTTAAGTACATATGATTTAATTGTGGTTGTACCACACCATTTGATTGTATAAAAAAAAATTAGTTTATATGGTATAACCTGTGTTGCCTACATCACGACTAATACAAAAAAAAAACATATCAATCCGCTTGACGTTGCATTTAAAATTTAAGGCCTTTTTGAAGGGAAAATTGTCCTATTTTTAACACTTAATAATGGAAAATTAAATTATAAGGAATAAATTTAATAGCTATCCAAGTTATACTGGTATAACCTGGGTTGGAACAGTTTATGCTTTTTTTGTAAACTGCAGAGCGTAATCTGCCCCAAACCAATTTATACAGTATAACTTGGGTAGCTATTAAATTCATTCCTTAAAAAAAAAAATCTCCTGGAAAAAAATTGGCATTTCCACTGAATCAAAACCTCTTGAGAATTTAGTAAATTTTCCTCTATCAATTTTGGGAGTTCCCATATAAAAATTTTGTGAAACCCTTTAAGTAATAATCACACTGCAGACTCCTGCGTCAGGCAGATAGAATGTCAGTTACCATTTTTTCTACTGTCGGTCTATCAATGTTTCCATCAACTGGATGAATTACTCACAATCCTGGGCTGCTGAACATGATATAAAGCAATTTGTACTTCACACTCCCTTTCTCGTGAAAATTAAAACGGTATGGATTTTCGGTATTTTGAATAAGGGGAAAAAAGCTTTCACTGTGTTTCAGTTCTGATAAAAAAAGTTTTGTGCTTGCTGGCCTCCCTAAAGAATTAAGCTTAACATAGGAGCTCTTGCTCAATATTATGGATATATTTTCCATATCAAATGAAGTCCCCCCCCCCCCCCCCAACACCACAAAACCTGATGTTATGCTTCTATCATTCATACAAAATTGTTTTCGTTTGAACTTGCAAAAAGTTGTCCTGAAGCCCGACCCATTAACTGCTGTTTTTTTGTAACTGTTTACAGTACTGCAGATGTGTGAATGATTCTTAAGTATTTGGAGAAAAAGATATTTTCTATTGTTCATTAAACATCAGAATAATATACGTACTCTGAACTATGTATATGTATCATCTATATGTATCATTTCCTGTTCTATGGAAAATAATTTTAGGTCTTTATTACATAACAGTGTTCATTTTAACCACAATGCTCCTTTTGTTTCTATAGGCTCTCGGATTTATTTTGAAATATGAATACAGTTAAACTTTGGTTAATACATTTAATCCCCCATTAATTCCTCTACATACACTGTTCTTTATAACTATGCATTTGGTATTTTCTGGATGGGGTGTAAATTCACAGTCTTTCATGGCCACCCAGAAAAACTGTTCCTTAAGCGCCGGGTTGGTGTGGGGGATGTGCCATCCATGGACCTTGGGGGTAGGGATTTACCCGGTGGGGTATGGGACCTGTTTGAGGTCGTTTCCATACATGAGTTGTACGATGCAAATCCCGATTGGATGGATTTAAAGAAGGTATCCTGGAGGTGGGTTTTTGATTCTTAGATCTGATTGATATGTATTCTGAATTTTCCATTCGGTACAGAAAATTTTTCTGTTGTACCAACTAGACAGCATTCCAATACAGGTTCTTTTCATGTTTATGCTTTCCTTGGCAAGGACTTGCATATCATTTTATGAAAAATTGAATACATAATATTGATCTCTGTTTTTCATTAATTAAGACTTTCCATACATAAGGAAGACTTTTTAACAATGTTCTTGCTGTGCAAAATTTGCATTTATGTTTTGATCTTCTAGATTTTCTGCCATAATATTAGCAGTGTATGTAGGGGCATTGGAATTTCATGTACAGATGCATTATGATGTCTAAAAAACTGTTAACAAATTTGAATTATGGTTTTAAATCAATCCCAGTCTTTGACAAGAAGTAGACAAAGGCTTAAATGTATGTAATATTTAGTCAGCATGTATATATTTGTTTAGTACCAAACTTTTAAGTGTAGAGATAAAGAAAACCCTGTTCTGGAATAAAAAGTTAAAATAAGTCACACGTTTGTTGACATCCACTTCTTGGGGCTGATTTTCTGAGGTTATTTATGGCTCTATTAGATGATTTGTCAATATTTGACTTCACTTCTCTCATTCAGGCTATTTACTACATATTAAACGTAGATACATACATTTAGGAACCCGGCTTGTTTATTGAGATTTCTAGTGCTCTTTCAGAAGTGTAAATAATCCGTTATCAAGTAATTAGAAGTGAAATTCAAACAGCTCGATAAAGAATAACAGGGTACTACCCACAATTCATAGAAGTCGGACAGATTTATAGCGGAATGCTTTGACACTCGTAAAGAAAATTCTCATCAAGGAGAAATGAATGGGACGTTAATTACAGTTCTGGCTATGTCAATATCCATCAGGGATTAATAATCGGCCATAACGGGAAAAAACATATTACTGTAATACACCTACCAGACTGACTATTTGTCGGTGTTTACTGGATATCAATCAATATTTAGTGTAATATGCCCATAAGACACTTTGATAACTGCTCAGAAGAGAGCATATTAGAGCTGCAGTTAAATACTATAATTCTTTTCATGCAGTATTGTGGTTAGAAATCCAAAAAATCTTATTTTACTATTTTTTTTTTTAATGCGACTACATATAGACTAGCACTCCACATGAAATTTTTTTATCTCAGTTAAATTAAAATAAATGACAAATTTAATATTTGGACAGATATTATTAATATTGACTGGAGCATTTATTCCTGAAAATTATGATCATGATGAATTGATACATGTAGATCAGAAAATCAGAGGAAGTGTTTTATTCTTCATGGTACTGTCCTCCCAATTGTTAAAATTTTTACCTTGTATGGTTAAAAATGTTTATTTTTTTATATTGCCTATAAATAAGTAAATAAAATAAAGAATATTTTTCCCTTTCTGTCTGTCTCATGGTGTGTGTGTGTGTTTGTCTGTTGATAGTTCAAGTATTCATCTCAGAAAACTCCACCCCTACATAGTTTACTATTGATCCCGCGTGTACTGACCTTATGTAACTTATGTAAATGACTTGTTGTTACAGGGAAAGACAGCCTGGTGATGGGGAGGCTTCATTGGACGGTGATGTAGATGATGACGACGACGACGATGGAATCGATAACCTGGACGATGATTGTGTTGAAGGATCAGACGGTACATACAAACCAGCCTCTCCTACAAACAACAAATCACAAGTTATAGAAAAATAATTGATGGGCAATTAACAATCGTTAAGTGATAAACGTAGCTGAAGTATGTTCAATCTTAATTTCTTGCCCTTGTCAATAATAATATATTAGTTTAAATTGATCTCATGAAAAACAGAGCTTCAAAGTAGAAATAGGGTGGACAAATTGACTAAGACATCTCAAATGTTTGGATAAAACAGAGACTTTTTTCCAAATGGTTGGACAAAATTAAACTAAAAGCAGATGTCAAAATTTTATAAAAGTATAAAAACAAGGTGTTATATATTTACTATTTACAGTTATTGTTTTTCTAGGTGAGTCTGATGGCTACTCCATTACCAGTAGTCTGTCTCGTCGATCTTCCTCGTCTCGTTCACGTGCCAAGTCGGCCAGTACTACACGACCTGTTGTAGCAGCTCGACCAATCAGTACACCCAGTGATGATGAAATACGTCCCCGAACAGTACGACCGGCCACTGCCGTCCCTGCCAAACCAACCATTCGCCCTCCTCTCACACAGAGTCTGTTTCCAAACATTCCTCCTACCATTAGCTTTGAGACCGAGGGATTCAAAGGTACTTCTAATGAATTATTGAAACAGCGTCTTGCATTTGTTTTATATGGATTTTGTTTGCGAGAGAATTTTTTGTCCAACTTTTAGAAGTAGTAAATCATGGTATCTGAATTAGAAAGAAATGAACAATGAGTTTGATAGTCTCCTGATAATTTCATTGTTTTTAGCTCATCTGAGAATTTGCAAAGTCTCTCTTAGTATTGTTCTGAAAATATTTGAGAATTATGTATGAATTAATTTAGATTACACAGAGTATAAGTGACCTGATGAGCCTTTGGCCGGTGGGCCTTAATTTCGTTTTTTTTTTTTGGGAGGGGGGGGGTTGTTTTCTTGCAATATAAATACACTTTATAGACAGATAACAGCTATGTTTTCGTAGGTGTGTAGAATTGAATCTAATGTCCCAAAGGGAGATAACTGCTCTCACCCTTATCCAGAGAACCAGAATGATATTATCTTGTAATAAAATATAATTGTAGTCACGATCAGATGATCGGAATCTCTTACTCAGTGCCACAAATGTCTCTCTTGACAGGAAATAGCAACACCGTAATTAAAAACAACCAATAACATTTCTTGTGTTAAGGTATTTTTTTTTTCCATTGAGCAGCTGGGATAGAGCAGTTCAATTAATAAATCCCCTTTGGTGTTTTTTTCTGTGTGTGTTTTATAAGCAGGATGTTACATTTCAATTATAGGCAGACCTTCTTCTGATATGCTGCTATTGAGTACTTAGTTTCCTTGGAAATTTTTTTTTGTGCTTTCGGGAAGAATCGACTTGGGGTCTTTGAGTATAAAACTACCGATATCCATAAATGTTCTCAGCCTTGATTGATTCCCTAGTCTTGGCTACTCCATCAAAATCAGTCCATGTTCAAAAGCCTTAATTTCTGTGAAGGGAAAAAGCCAAAGAAAATGTCTAATCTAATTGACTGAAGGTCAGAACGATGCGATTGGGGCTAATTGGCCAGATTTTGGGTTTCTGTTAAAAAGAAGTGCTTTTTTTACTGCAGTCAGAAATCAATGGTTGTTTTTCTGGCACTGTTGGGTATTTGAACATGTCGATTTTAATCATTCATTTTGGCATCAAATGAAGTCTTTCCTGGGGAGAGTATCCGTCAATATTTGTTAGCTTGCCTAGCATGATGTAACAGCATAAAAAAGTGTGCATTGATTTTAAGGCTTTGGTTATTTGAAAAAATAAGAACTGTATTTTGCACTGCCAGATACCAAAGGATATAGAAAATGACATTGAACAATTGACAGCTAATTTAGGAACTTTTTTTGTATTCCAAATAGGGGAGGGGGGATGGATGTGTCTTTGTGAGTGATTTTTTTTTTATATAAATAGAGTACCGTACAAAAAATAGCTATATTAAGTCTTTAGAGTTATAATACCATGTTTCTACCAAGTAATTTACAAGACAATGAAATGAAATAAGTAGGTTAATACATGTACATTTTCACAAAACATTTTTTTTACTAAAATTGATTACTACAATACAGTTAAAAATTGAGTTATTTATGTTGCCACATTTTAACTTTTTTCTTCCATGATTTTATGCCAAAAGTGTTATTACTGACTAAATTCTTAGAAAGCAGGTATTAAACAGAGCATTAGATAGTTTAACTGAAGTATTGGTAATGATTCAGTTGACTGGTTGGTTGTCTCCCCCCCCCCTCCCCCCTCCCCCCCCCCCCCTTTCAATGGGATGAAACAAAAATATATCACATTTGTTTGCAGCCTCGTTGTTTTTGAATACCAAGTCAAGTGAATTCTTTTTTTTTTCTTTTTTTTTTTTTTGATTGAAAGGAGTACATATGATAAGCATCAGTTTTGGCCCCAACATTTTTTGACTTTCAACTTTATAGTATTTCTGTGACTGAAATTTATAGTAGAAATATTTATATACATTATGTACATGGAATAAAAAACTAAACATTAAAAAAAATTTAGGATTGATTTTGAGGTCAAGGTCAAAATATAAATTGTTTACAATGGTTTCCCGGTGATAATTTTAGTTCTCTGAGAAATTCTGCAGTGAGATTTATACCTTTAGTCAATATAACTTTAAAAAATCCTATTGATTTTGAGGCTATAAGGTCAAAGACCAAGGTTAGAAATTCATATACATGTACATGTATGTATTATGTAGTTTTCAGATAGTAACATCAGTTCTTTGTTAACTTTTGCAATATAACTTGAGATCATGAATTTCTTTTACTTAAAAAATACCCCTGATGCATCAAGGCCAAAAGCTTAAAGGGCGAGTAGACCTTTCTCTCTCTCAATCTGCATTTCTTTCAGGTTTTCAATCCTTTTTTTTTTCCTTAAGCGAGGAATACAATTCCCTGAAGTAGCTTGTTATTAGGATACTTTACCATTATTTCTAATGATTGTACTTTGTTTTCCAGTGGAACAACTGCCATGGGATTTACGCAAACTCTTAAAATGGAGGATGAGTCCCATTACCCCAAACATTGTAAAACACACATTGGCTAGGTCACACTTCAGGATCACTAAACGTATGTATTAAATGACTGATTAACATTTCAAAAACTCTGTTTAATGTAGATCACCAAATTATGGCGACACCTTATTTTTGCGAGTTGGTCATTTGATATTTATAAGCGAGACATAATTTGTACAAATATTGGTTACTGTTCTATTTAATCTTTTGTAATACGAATATATGTGAGAATTAAATTTTTGTGTGCAGGCAGTCTTGTGTTAGTATGTGGAAATAAAGTTATTTCAAGTTTAAAGTTATTTACAGTAATATCAATTAAACTGATTTTCATGATGAAAATTGTGGATATGAAGATCAGTCAAAATTTTAAAATAGTTTTATTAAAATACAGGAATATTTCATTTACTATGAAATCCTCTGTGTTTAATCACCATTTGAATAAATAAAAGATAATGTAAACTTACTGTTTAACAAAAAGTTATGTGCAATATAGTCATGTGATCGGATAAAAAGAATGTTAAAATGACTTGTATGATTTTATGTACAGGAAACCATGATTGGTTAGGCTGCTGGGGTAAACACATGAAATCTCAGGGATTTAAGTCAGTCAGGGAATATCAAAAGGTAAAAAAAAAACAACTAAGATTCAAGGTAGAAACAGTATCAGAAGAATAAGGTCAATAAAGTCATCAAATGAAAAAGTCTATGTATTAAAGCATAATAAACACTATTATTTGAATGTGCAAATTTTTATCCATGTGCAGCTGCCCATAAAATCAGATGAAAAAATAATTTTTATTATGAAGTGGGCCTTGTTTAAGTGTACTGAAAATCAAAAACAAATGTTCAGTGAACAGGTAATAACTTGCAGATATGCTTGTAGCTCAATCATTTTCCTGGTTCATTCCAAATTGGCCGTAAGGATCGCCTCTGGAGGAACCTGTCCAAGCTTCAGGTGCAGAACGGCAAGAAGGAATTTGGATTTTTTCCCCAGACGTTTATCTTACCATCGGACATGAAACTGCTAAAGCGAGCCTGGGAAGATGGCGGGACAAAACAAAAGTGGATTGTTAAGCCGGTAAGAAACTCAGAACGGAATCAAAAATGTATCAGATCAACATTCTTTAAGTAAGTTTTTGAGTTGGATCTTTTAAAGTTTTGTATTTTTCAGAGAAGTAGAGAGAGAGTATTGATTTTATTCAGTCTTGAGTGTAGAAATATGAATATGTACAGTAATAATTTGATGATGTTTAAGGAAGGGAGATGAATCTGTCGTCACAAGGAAAAGCTATAGATGTTTTTGTAATGCATTTTTATTTCAGCCTGCTTCTGCACGAGGAATAGGAATAAAGGTCATAAACAAATGGACACAGATACCAAGGAAACGGCCAGTAATTGTCCAGAAATATCTAGGTCGCCCGTACCTCATCAACGACAGCAAGTTTGACATGCGTATTTATGTATATGTTAGCAGCTATGACCCTCTCAGGATTTATATATTTGAGGATGGACTTGCAAGATTTGCATCCATGAAGTACGTTTTTGAAGTTGTGTGTAAAACTGTTCTGGCAAATACATCTTATTTTCATCTTAAGGATGAAAGTGTCTTTGTATAAGAGGAGTGTTGTTAAGGTGAAAATTAATTCATCAAAAGAAGTTCATAAATATACTTATCAGTCAGAATTTAAAAGTATGATTGTCATGAATTTTGAATTTTGAGTGAAAATTTTGGTGACTCCAGTTGTACATAACACCATCTGGTAATTTTAGTATTATAACTAGAACATTGCATACTTAATAAGTTTGGTTCTGGGTTGAAATTTTGTTCAGACTGATCAATTTCAATAATTTTATAGGTATTCCACTGCTATGAAGAATGTGAATAACAAATTCATGCACCTAACAAACTACAGTGTCAACAAGAAGAATGCGGAGTATCAGTCCAATGGGGATGAAGCATTGTGTCAAGGTCATAAATGGTAAGGTCAAGGTCATCTAGGAATCTGAATGAACTTGAAAGTAGTAATAACTTTAGTATGGAAAATTCAGATTAAAAAATATGCCAAAACTATGGAAGATTGAAATGTCAATAATTTTTTCATGTAAGAATCATTAGCTTTACCTGTTTAATTTTTATAACCAGGGGCTTGAAGGCTTTGTGGAATTATATGAAGAGACAGGGAATAAATACAGCTCAAGTCTGGGAAAACATTAAAGATCTGGTCATAAAAACCATTATTTGGTAAGATCCTCCTTAAAATATGGTGAAATATAAATTGTAAAAAGTTACCTTTATATTCTATATTATATTTGCCTACAAATTTTGGCATTTCCTGTTCATAAAAAAGATGACATCTTGTTTGAGTGTGGAATACTGTTCATAGAAATGTTACCCTTTCATTACATAGAATAACATGTTCATAGAAATGTTACCATAAATTTCAAAGAGTAGCTACAGTATGTAACGACTGACTGCCCAGTGGCTCCGTGTCTGAATTCCCCATTTTTCTTTCAGTGCTGAATCCCCCATCAATAGCATGATTAAGTCTAACTGCCGCAGCAGGTATTGTGTCCATGAGTTGTTTGGGTTCGATGTCCTACTGGATGAGAATCTGAAGCCATGGATTTTAGAGGTCAACATATCACCAAGGTAAGTCCAGGTAAACTGACCACTTGCTGGTCAGTCAGTTATAGTCAGTAGTTTTGGAATAGGAGTATAACGTTCACATAATTTAGCAATGGTCTTATTTAAGTATCTTTTGCACTGTATCTTGTCTTGTTCACTTAAATATTTGATTTAAACATTAACATATATAATCATGGCTCCAAATGTATTAATTTATAAATAAGCTAATCAGTTCCTTCTGTAACTTGTAAAAATTAAAATAAAACTAGTCAGGATACTTTTCGTAAGGTAAAGGGTGATAGCTATGGAGGAGGATAAAAAGTGTGATTTACTTAAGATGTTGTTAAACTCTTAACAATGCTGAGTGTTTTCTTTCTTGCAGTTTACATTCCAACTCTCAGCTGGACATAAACATCAAGGGACAGATGATTCGTGACCTGATGAATATAGCTGGATTCCGAATTCCCGACAAAGCCGATGTTCTCCATAGCAATTCGGTCGCACCCAGTGCTACAGAATTCAGGTTAGCTCGGTGGACGTAAGAAAAAGACAAAAAAATTTCTATTTCTCCAAAAAGCATCTAAGGCAAAGTAGGTCAAAAGAAATCTACAGAGTTGTCAGTTAATGTTTTATCTTAATCATAAAGTTTTATATGAAAAGGGCTACAGGTTCTGGTTTACATTTTATATCACATAGAGAAAATTTTAAAAAATATGAAAGAATGAAAAATTTTCATTTAAATGTTAAATTTAAGAGACAAATTGATTTTGGCTTAAGAAATGTATAGTAAAACTTGATATTTATGAAAAGCTGGAAATGTTTGCAAGAGGGAGAAACTCCACACATCCCTGTGTGCATGTACAGGGAAAAGTAAGTTTTTTTTATGTATACATGTACTTGCATAAAATATTTTCACACATAAAAATTGTAATGCCCCCTCTCTGAAGGTCATTATGTCATTTGTTTACAGTTCATACATACCCCCCAATGATATGTGTATGGATAAGAGGTTGTTCACCAGTATACTCGCCCCAGATGAGCGTGCCAAACATGCCTATTACTGCCAGCGACACCAAGATGAGGTAAAAATTACAATATCAAACAAATCATAATAGCTAATTAGACAATCTTCTGTGGTGCAATGTATACATATGCATGTACACTTGTACATAAGTAAAAATGTGTATATACATGTACATATGTAATTATAATTGGTCATTCAGGCATCTTGTTCATGAAATAGTTTCATTGCGTAATATACTATCATTTATTTGCGAATTGTCAGTTTAAAATCAATCCGCTACCATTAATTTTCGCAACTTAGAAAACATTCTCTACAAATACAAAGCAGAATAATTGGTTTGGGGTGATTAATATTTGCGGGTAGGTCAAGAAAATCACGAATATTTCTAGCACGCGAATAAAAATTGGTTTACAGTATACCATTCATGATTTTATGATGCCTATAAAGAAAATTTATACATTTAAGTCTGTGTGTTTAAAAAACAACTTTAAGGATTAAAAAAATGTACTGTTAAGAGATCAAATTTAGCCTTTTGAAAGTTAAGAATGCACAGATGTTGAGATCAGAGTACATATAGTCAAAAGAGATATGAAATTTTCTGTTGTGATACAGCAAACTTTGCAGACCATCTTGGACATCTTGACTCCTGACGACGTCCGGATTCTGACAGAGTGTATAGATGAGGACAGTCGGAAGGGCTGTTTCCAGCGTGTGTTCCCCACCCCCTCCTCCCACAAATACCTACGCTACATGGAGGCCCCTCGGTACTACAACTTACTAGTCAGTCAGTGGGTCCAACGATTTAACAGAATGGAACAAAAAGGTCAGAGGTCATTACTATTAATAAATGTTAGAGTTGATATAGTGACATATACTTGTTAATATTGACCTTTTAAAAGCAGAAGTGTGCTAGGAAAGATTTTAGGTGTAACATAATGTACATGTACTAAGGTCTTTTTTCATTTATTTGTGTTTTATGTGTATAAATAGGAATAGCAGTTTTGGAAGGATTTTGTGAGGAAGGAATTCATCTGCAGAATCCGACAGAAGACCCAAGTCACCAGGTAACATTTCAGATGGCAATCTGGAATTTTGAAACATAATCAAGGCCCCCCGGCATATTTAGAACAAAAATAAAGTAGGCATATTAAAAAAAAAGATATTTTGTGCAATGATATTGAGTATTGTGGTATTCACAGTTTTATTGTGAATGAAATACTTAATCAGAAGTGTCAAATTATTTCACAATGTAAAAGGAAATTCATTATTTTTAATTGATGTTTAAAAATTCTTGCAAAGATTCTGTTGCAGAAAATTTCAACAGCAAAATTTAATATTCTGTTACAGATTGATAAATCAGATTTACATGTACTTCAACCAGGGAAGAACGGTAATCTAACTAGATATACATGTAGTCCTGTACAGCATGAAATTATAGAATTATTTATTTTTAACAGTGGTGCCCTCCTAATGGTCTATTGAGTCATCGGGGTGACACTAGGACACACAGCGCCCCCAATAAACATCACGTGGAGAAGGAGAGCACGCTAAAACATAGGTACGCTGACCCTCCCAAATACAACAGAATGTGGTTCTTTGCCTTCTGAAGAAGGCTGCAAGGTTCTAGACAGTATATACCAGACAGTGCACAGTATTTCTCAACAGATGTTGGTAAAAATGTAAAGAAGTTTAAGAATTTATGGTTTCTGATACAGAATTGTGTTTTGCACACTTGGCAAATTCCAAGTTGACATGAATCAAAATGTTGACATAGCAAAAAGAAACAAAGACTGCTATAACCAATTTTTGGTCTTGATAGATATCTAACCAGTAATCAGCTAAATATAACTTTAACCAGCATGATCTAGCGTAATGTTTGTTATTTTATGAACTCTAACATTCCTCAGCTGTTAATAAGATTCCCCAAGTAGTGTGTGTTGATTTGATCTATAAACAGAGTGTTGTATGTACATATATATAGGACAGCATGCAGTTTGATTCCCTTGTATAAACTGATGTAAGTCCCACACCTTGTGAATTAATTTCTACTGAAGCAGGAAGACACTGTATGAACAATTCACGTACACTGTTGTTGTTGTAGGCTGTTTCATTGAATTTCTTTCCACAGAAATGGTACACGGCAGAGTTATTGAATTATTCTCACTCATGCAGTACACATGCAGCAGGTTGCATGACTCATACCAGTTGCATTACTGCATAATTTTATGACTGCATTTATTGCGACTTTCGTGATAGGTTTTTCTTTTGTCAAAACAAATTTTTAGCAATTGACCCATGTAGATCAAGTTACTACAATACAATTATAGACAAAATTTTGAGAAAAAGGATATCATATCCCAAAAGATTTTTTTTTTTAATAATGATAAATATTTATATGAAATGTCAAAGACTTTTCAACTTTTACCTTTTAGAGCAAGACATGCCCTGCCTTAATTAAGTATGAACTATTAGGAATTCAGATTTATGATTGTTGGAGTTGTTTCCCCTCTTTATGTATTACAAATACCAAATTAACCATTTCTTTCTTGTATGTTTAGATCCAGCAAATAGATTTATATATTACTAACAAGAAAAAACTAACAGTATTTAGAATTGCTTTTAATATGTTCATATAGCCGGTATATCTTAGTTCCTAGAATTTGTTGATCAGTCATCTGCTGTATCGAGAGCACAGAGTTATTACAGTCTTTGAATGGTCACATGGAATGGATTTGAGTGATATTGCTGTGATATGGTGCTCTATGATCTACAACTGTATTAGTACATAGAAACGGCACAATTGTTTGTATGGGTCCACAAGATGGTTTCGTACTAGCAAAACTAAAAAAACTGTATTGTCTATACTAATTTATTAAAATTAAACATAATGAGCTAAAAGAGTATAATACAAGAATATTGACTTGGTAAATAAGATGACTAGTTTTATCATTCAGGGTAAATACAGTCTAACTTTGAAGTATCTCATACTGATATGTTAGATACCTGGTATATGTGAAATACCTGACATTCATGTGAACATAGAATACCTGGTACATGTATTTAAACTCCGATTAATTGGGAGCTAACCTGAAATGCCACAAGTGTGAGTTGGAGTAAATGTGGATCCATACAAACAATGAGATTTCGATTTTGTTTTGTTTTTCACTTGTGCATTCACAGCTTCTCATTGGATATCCTCACTATTCACAGATCTGCCTCAAACTTTATATAAAGATTGATACTTCTTGGCTATGTTGAATTATTTCTTTCTAGTCATTCTCTGTTAATGTATACAACATTTCATTGGGTCAAGGTAATAACTGTGCAAAATATCTTTGAAAAATAAAAAAAAAAAATGTCTATGAACTGTGCTACTTTTTTTTTTTAATCGTATTATTAGCATGGTATTAGATAAATTGATGATTTATAAATAGAACAAAAAAGTCAGGATATGCATGAGAGGAGGCAGTGCATGTGCCATGTTTTATTTTTGTGTAGTTCCTGAATGTTTAGTCTGAATGTTTTTGTCTCTTCACAGTCAATCAACGTCAGGTCTGCCTAAAATGGCCAAAAAACCTCCCAAGGCACCAAGTCACGGTAATTCTGGAACCACCACGCGCACAATTTCACAGTGTAGCTCCGCCTCCTCGTCAGTTACCTCCCTTACCTCACCCACACCAACACAAACTGTCAATAAAGCTGCCGCCCCCTCCAGATGACTGGCGGTCCGCTTACCTCCCCTGAAAGAACTCTTCAATGGAAGTATGCCCATGTTTAACTCCACGAGATACCAAAGACATGTACTGAAACCATTAGTTCGACACAGTGCCGATGCCAGTTTGGATGCAGTTCGGAAAGCTCAGCTGAATCGAAAGAAAAAACGAATTCAACTGAGAACATCTGAAAAATTTTTCTAGTCTGGACCAGAGATGTTTTCAGCAATGGAGTTGTACATTTGCCATGTTTTCAGAATCATAGTCCTCATGTTCATTTTACCTCAGCATTTAAGTGAATGTTTCATTATAGACCCTAAGCATGTGCCTTAGTCTGAATGTTTTTTAAATATTTATAGATTTTTAAGGTTGTTGCCAGGTCATTATTGCTCATGATAACTGTGCTTACAAAGTGCTATCAATATATTCTGTGATAAAGGAATAATGTTGCTAAGAACCTCATGGTGGTTAGCTTTTGCTTTTGGTACATGTTACATGTATATTAAGGGTTGCATTCCAAAAGATTGCTAGGATTTGTTTTGAAGGCCGGTTCTCAATCTTTTTGCTCACTTGAGGAATTGTTTATGGTGTACATCTCAGTATGCAGGGTTTTACATTCCAACAATGTTTTAGGACCAAAGTGGAAAGTCTTCATCGTTTTGCTCAATTGTAGGATTGTTCAGGGTGTTTGGATTCGCAGGGTTGTCACATTTTTCTGAAGCAAACTCTTTTTTTTTTCCCCCAGTGCCTCAGAATTTCCCCGTTGTGCAGGATTCAGGAGGTTTCCTGATAATTCTGTGCGATTACACAGCATAAAATATCTGTGAAGTCCAATTTATTAATTGCAGTGTGTATATACAAAAAATGTGCCAAATTCATTTAACAATCGTAAAAGGAATAAGAAGAGTTTTTGGAATAAACATGCAAGACTTCACAGAGATCACCACTACTGCATGTATTGTGTTGAAATAGTGCATGATGTGTGTTGTTTTAACCAGTCCCCCTGTAGCTGTAGATGAGAAAGTTGCATCATAGTTTTCCTGTAATTATCCCAAAGAACAAAATCTAATGAAAAAACTTGGAAACAACCAGTAGCAAAAACTAGCTGACATTTCACTTTATGTTTTTTTTTTTTGGGGGGGGGGGGGGGGGAGAAAGAAAAATGAAAAATAATTGGAGAGCACAAAAATTATCTGAACTTCAATGTTGGTCATCCAAAGAACTGGAAATGAGTGATATTGTATTATTTGACTTTAATTGCCTGCCTTTTCAGTTGTGAGGAAGCATCAGAGAGCGTAACTTTGCTTGACTCGGAATCAACTTCATCGCTTTCATTGGATGCTGATCCATCAGATGATGATGATGACGATGCCGATGACAACACTTCCAAACTGTGCAAGATCACCTCACATTGGCGATCACCTCTTGTGAAACTTCGAAATCTGTTTCAATTCATTCAGGCCTTTTCAAAGAGAAAGATCAAATAAGGAGATATGATAAACATTAGAAATAGAATCAAGCAAATATGGGTCTTTTCTTGGTAATGAACGAGGTTTTCTGGCATTTTTAAACAAGTTGATTAATCACCATGGTTACTTTTATCTCAGAGGAAATTTATAATAAAAAAATGATACCTTTACACGTTCCCAAGTTATGTTGATAATATGCAAAGTTTGGTATTAAAATTATGTGTATTTATTGGCATTATATTCAAGGACTTGATGAATCTATGTATTTATATATAAATGGCATCGAGTAAGTTACAAAAGTATTGTGCACTGATGCTGTTCCATTTGCATCAGTAAAAATAAATATGCAATTTGTTCATTCATTTAATCTCCGTCCTTCTCCCCCAATGAAAATTGTTAGAATTTTTATTCTTGTTATTGCACTCGCAATATGAAAATTTTGGGCACATTGTAGTTTAGTGGACAGGCTATTTTAAATTTCTTTTTTTCTTTTCTTTAACTAACAAACATATCACATGATTTGGAAGCTTTACAGTTTAATAATCATTATTTCAATAATTTTTGTGTATAAAAAAATTTTATTTTTAAAAATCTCCAACTACAAATCAAGGAAAAGTTGAACTTTTGACGTTATAGATTGGAAAAAAAAAATTCTAATTCTAGACAATTTTTGTAGCTTCTCATTTTCTAGAAAAGTTTAAGTCTACACTTACGACACAGAGAAGGCTGTAGTAAAATTATTTCTTAAAGCATGCTTGATGGCAAAAAGGAAAAAAAAATACATGTATAAGGGTGTAAATTACCATAAATATTTTGAAGCCCATAGGTACTTTCATGTCATTCAATATTTTTTTTACTCTTACATTTTTGAAATTTCTTTAAATTGATACCACAAAATTCTGGATATGTCAGTTTTTCTTAATGTTATTTTTTAATATTATTTTGATCATAGAAGTAACTTGATTAAAATGCTTTAATACCTTGCAGTTGATACAAGTTGCTATGCAATTCAAGGGAAATAATATTTGCTTGGTTAACATTTAATTGTGAAAAAAAATGCTTTGAGAAGCATATTGGATCTTTCTTTTATGTAAAAGTATTAGATTTGCCATTTAATAAATGCCTTTTTTTTTGAGTAAAATGAATATTTACATGTATATGTACCTGAATGTGTAAATATATATACCTGAATACATGTACTAGATAGAAGCGTCTTTGTTGTAACAGTCAGAATTGTTTACTAATTAATGTCTACAATATCAATTTTGATATGCCTATATTTGTTCCACAAGAAGTAGCAAATTCTTCATGTTTTTTAAAAGCATGTTTGTCAACAGAATTCCATTCCATGAGTGTCAAGTGATGGATTTTAACGAGAGTTTTGAGTATACATGTACATATTATAAAGGTATACCCAAATCATTTTTTGAGAAACTACCATTTAAATGATAGCATGTTTGTAAATGTGATATATATACATGTATGTATGTAAATTCACATGTTATATATCAACACTATTAATGATGTTAGAAGTCTTAGTTAAGTGAACATATGGAATGTTAAGTAAATGTAACATGATCACATGACATGCTAGTTATGTGATCACATGACATGCTAGTTATGTGATCACATGACATGCTAGTTATGTGATCACAAGATATGCTAGTTAAGTGATCACATGACATGCTAGTTAAGTGATCACATGACATGTCAGTTAATTGATCACATGACATGCCAGTTAAGTGATCACATGACATGCTAGTTTAATGATCACATGACATAGTTGTCTAGAGAGGAGGATGCCTTAGCAATATTAAGCCTTAAATTAATTTTATTAAAAAGCTGAAAATAATAATAGGTGTTTAATTCACATGTATGATTTGTTTTGGACAACAAAAAACATTATTTAAAAATTTAAGTTTGGTGCAATGGGGCTGCAAGAAAAACATTAACTGAAGTTTCTATTTTATATTAAAACATTTGGTTTTTATGTCTGCATTTTGAAGTGGCAAAGATTTAAGGAAATCTTTAAATACCTATTGGTGAGAGATTTCTTCCTCTGCAATGCATTCTCATCTATAAGTGTTGGAAATTTCTGCAGGATTTGCAGTCTTATGTACAAGTGTAAGACAAGCTACAGTGAATTAGTCACAAAATCTGTTTATTTAAGTTTAATTGTATTGTTTAGATTATTCTACTTTGGAATGGAGTTTTGTAGGAAATGGTGAATGAAAGAATACAAGAAAAGTAAGAGCAAAAAAGGATTGGTTCACAGTACCCTGATATTCCCGGGTCAGTTTTACTGGTGCTAGCTAGTGGATTTATTGTTATCTTGCTAATTAAGGCCATTAGTTTAAGTACATGTATATCATTTGTCATTTTAATTACCACAGAGCATTTTATCAAAAAACATCATGCATTTGTTGTAAACTTCCATTGGGGGATTACTAAGGGAGGTAAGCGGATACCAGAGTTATGTTTAGATTTTATTAAGATATTATTTATTTATTTATTTATTATTTTTTACTTGTGAAATATCTCTGCTTAATATCAGAGGTTCCTAGAATATACTAGTCTCTTATAATAAAGGATGATTATATTTAGATGAACCAAATGAGTAAGAGGTGATTTTGCAATTGATTTTTTGTAATGCACCTTTAAGAATTTTAGTAGGCTGAAATATGTACAATTATTGAAAGACATTTTGAAATTGTCATATTTTTTCATAATATGATGAACTGTGTATAACTGTAGCAAAATTAACTACAATCAAAACAAGATTTTGAAAAAAAAAGTTTTAAAATAAAGGCATTTTAATTTATTTTCACAAATTCGTTATCAATACTTCTTTAACAGTGAAATATTTGGACAATTGATATATATATCCCTTACTCACTAAGGTAATATATTTTTAAAAGAACTGAAATTTTCAATTCAGTGAAAGAGACCTTAATTGTGATATTTTCTTTTTAAGTTCAAACAGTCTTTTTTAATTGTCATGATAGTTCTCCAAAATAAATTATTCACACATCTAGAATAGCAAAATCAATAAGAAAAATTTGTCATACATTTTAACTGGATTTTGTATCTAACTTCTTACTGAACATTTCACTTGAGAAAAAAAACACTTATTGCCACTTTTTTCCAAAATTTTATGTGGAAAAGTATTTATTCAGCAAGGCACTACTCACTGACTGATGTTTAATGTATCCCCCTATACTGTGATTTGTAGAATATCTAGGTTATGATATTGTATAACTTAAAATCAGACTGTACTTAATTGTTAGCAGGGCATATATGCCGAGTTTGATCAATGTTAAATAAATGTTACAAATTGTTGATCTGTGTATTTGGTTGTTATTTTTGTTTATCATATACTTAGTAGTAAATACACCGATTATGCACTGTGCGATACAGGTGACGTCATAATACCCCATATCAAGGACCGGTCCGAAAATCCATATCACGTATCGGACCGGCGTGGAAAAATCCATATTAAACCAGAAGTAACTTTTGTATAAAGTTTAAAAGTTATTTACTTGATTTTATTTAAATATACATGTAAAATAACTCTTTAATAACATTTGTGGACTTATTTTTTTTTTCAAAGACCTAAAATTGCCTCTATTTAAGATTTTAAAGAAAACATTCATGAACATGCACGAAATATTCTTCAGTGACTTTATGTGAACTCGCATATTTAGTATTTTAAATATATGATAAATGGAATACTGCATACTGAAA